CTTAGAAGATGCTGAGCAGCTTCCCCACACAGCACCATTCCACCATTCTTTTGAGCCATCCAACCATGTACTGAACACTCTGAAACCATGAGCCAAAGCAAACCTCGCTTCCTTTAAGTTTCAGGTATTGGTTATTTTCTGATACTGGTCCTGGCAGCAGGAAAGTGAGAAATACAGCTTCTATACTACTTTTAGACATAATTCTATTACTTTTTAAATTCATATCATTATTTATAAGTATCCATGTTATTGTCAGGCTCAGAGGAAATAATGAACAAAAATAAGTTAAAATTTATTTTTTCTGAGCTCAGGGTTTAAGAACTATTGAGTAGCAATAAGGAAGCTAGTCTTTGCAAAACGTAGATGCCCTGTTATATGATCGGGTAACTTTCTTCTCTTATCTTAATTAGATATTTAGAAGAAGCTCTATTGTATTAATTGTACAGACAATTAGATGTGTTCAAATGGTAGAAGAAATACAATTTAAAGCAATTTAGGGAGCTTAGAAATATTATGGAATTAAAATCTATATAGCCAAAGCTTATTATGCAAAAACAGCTATGTGAACAGTATCAGATAAAAGATGGAAAATACTTAGAAATGGTTACTCATAAATGAACACACAATAAGACACCACATTAAACATCACCAAACAGCTGTAATAAATTTTCTAAGCAAGCAGTGCAATGTAATTGCACAACTTGTGTACTACAATAAGTTTTCAGTCTAACGATTCATTTGCAGAATGTTAATCTTGAAGTTTTAAATTTGGAAGAGGCCTGAGAGATCAATTTCCTTTGTCTTTAGATTAGTATGACTATTTGTTCCTCAAATCTGCTCAGTGTGTGTCATCATCAGAATGAAACATGAATGAATGACAAAGCTGAGTAGAAATAGCTAAGACTTCCATCAACACTGCACACTAGATTTCAAACATGGGTTTGGATTGTACCCATGTTTTCCACCCTTTGTTTCATGTAGGAAATCATTTGGAGAAAATAATTCATATGCTGATTAACACCTGCAAAATTTATCAAATTGTAAGTAGTGATAAAAAGTGCCCCAGGATCATAAGTAATTAATAAAAATCAATACATGATTTTAAGCAACTGGTTCCCAAGCTAAGCTTTGAAAAAAATATATATGGCAGGATTTTCAGCAGAGGAATGAATGTTTAGATTTATGTGTAAGCTCCATTAACTTAAAATTGCTATTATATAGTACTGTTGATGTCTTGGTTACTTTTCTCTAGTGGAGACAAAATACCCAATGCCCAAAAGAAATGAAGGAAAAGTTTATTTAGCTTACAGTTTTTTTTTTGCAGGTTTCAGTTCATACTCAGCTCCAAAGCAGGCAGGCATGGTTTAGGGTTCACCTTTCATGGTGGCCACAAGCAACAAGAGTGAAAAGGGAAAAAGGGAAAATCACCCTTCTTCTCTCCCTTATCTTGTATGCCTGCTCTCCACCCCAGGGCAGGTGCAGAACTCACACCACCAATCCTAGCGCTGGATTTGTGATTGTGAACCAATCACAAATGCTAGAATCAGCCACCTCCATGACTGCATGAGGTTTTGGGGGGACATCTAAACACAAACCATAACAGTTGACTTTTTTGGTAAATAGTCCTATGCATTGTATGTCTTATCCTTTTAATGACAGATATAAGGAGCCACCAGAGTTCTGAAAGGAACATGTGTGAAATCCTCATGAATTTAGGAAATATAGGGTTTTACTTACCCGAATTTCTTTCATTATCTTTCTTCATGGCCTGCGATTTTAGTGTAATTCATCATGAGCAACTTCAAATAACATAAGTAATTATGTGCAATTGAAATTATAATTGCTCTTTACTCTAGGCTTGCTGGAGTGACTCCTGGATGGAACCGCAAGCTGCAGCAGTCCAGCACATAAGCGGTGAGGCCTCCTGAGCCTGCTGTGCCCTGTGCACTCGCTTGTGTGCTGACTTTTGCTGCTCACGTTTCAAACAGGTCAACTTTGGTTTCAGGTTCTTTGCCTACATAGTCTGTGGAACTTAGTGATAGCAGCTTTTGTCACTGAGATGTCTGTAAAAGAAATTCATAGAGTAATACATGTTTGAAGAATGCACTAAGGGCTTTTGGTGCAAAGGGAAGAAGAGTTACTCTAAATGCCACGAGGGAGCGATGCTTGCTTTGTCCATGTCCTGGAGCCTAGAGGAGGGTCCAGCAAACATTTGGGTCATGTGTTCAGTGAAATCATGTTCTTGCCCAGGAAAAAGGTACTGTTTAGCTGCAAGATTCTATAGTAAGGTGTTTGTTTTCTGTTGGGTGATTCCAAATACCCTGTGATACTTTCATTCTCTTGAATGGCTTCATACTGTCTTGATATGTTTGATGCTATAGTATACGAAGTTATACTCAAATATTTCACGGAAAGAGACACTATGGTGACTACTATTATGTCAGGTTATCTAGTGGTGAAACACTATGATGCTTAAATTGTTCGTTTCTAACCTATGTTGTTCTGTTACATCCTCTTTTATCTAAATTTCTCCCTTTTTAAAAAATTATTTTTTCTTATTTTTTTAACTAAGGGAAAACTAAATTAAAAAATAGTGGGATATATTATAGTAACTTTTTTGTTTTCCTATTAACCTGATTTGAACCCCTGTATTGCTCTCCCCATCTTGTTCTGACTGATTTTACTATATTGTTTTGTTTGATAGTATCAAGTTTGAGGGTATACGCAACCACTTTGAAGGCAATAAGATTCACCATGATGCCCATTCTGGTTTGACTTTTATCTTCTTTTGAAGTTTTGTAAAGTTAACAATGTTTAGGTTTTATTGGTCTTGTTCTGTACTGTTTTGTTCAATTCTATTATGATGATATAGACAACTCTTTTTAAGATAGCAAGAGGCGTAATGGTAACCATTGTTGATCACCTGGTATTCTGTTTTTGCACTATGTTCATCCTTCTGTTCTGACTCTGTTTTGCGTTGTCACATTTGTTTATTTTTTCTCTTCAAAAAAAAAAAAGTTCTAAGAACTGTGGGAGTAGTAAAACCCAAAAAGTGTGGGGCTGGGGATTTAGCTCAGCGGCATAAGCGCCTGCCCTGCAAGCAGGCAGTCGTGAGTCCAACGATCCTCGGTACCGATAAAAAGGAAAAAGACCAAAAAAAAAAAAAAAAAAAAAAACCCCAAAAGTGTAATTGTTATTGCAAAAAAGAGAGGAAAAGAAAGTGATCTAAAGGATATAACTGCATGTATATGTAAGTGTGTAGGATAGAAAACCACATTACTGAGTTTTTGTTGGATCATTGAACAGAACTGTCTGCAATCTCACTGTATGAATGTCCACTTTGTATTTTAATTTTGTAATTTGGACAACTGTTTCTTACTGTATATTTTTTTTCTTGAAATTCTGTATTATTTGTACCCTTTTACTGTTTTTTTCTCTTTAAATAAAAAAAGATTCTACGGTAAGTGCTACAACAGTAGTATGTACACAGCCCTTCATTTTCAAAACTCACGAGCACAGATTACGTGTATAAAATAGTTGGTCATACATGTGTACGCCTTGGATCCTTGAGTCAAGATGCTTTGTTCGGTCTTTTAAGGACTGCCTTTTCCAAAGAAGCCCAAATGAGGCTGAATTCAACTATGTGTGGCTTCTAAGAAAAGTGATAATATAGCACAACCAGAAAATGTATACAATCAAAGAAGAAGCAGTGTTCCAGTTAAAGGATCGAGTAAATATGCTTTAATTCCCCGTTACAATAAAAAATCCTGTAACTCCATGCATTCCTCGACTTCATTAGAGGCTGGGCGCGCGCCCTCTGCTGGTCAGGAGAGGCAGCGCCGCAGACCCGTGAGGCCCCGCCCCCGTAGTCACCGCCTCCCCTCCCCTCCCCTCCCCCCCATCTTCTCTTCTCCCCCCCCTCCCCTCCCGTCCCCTCTCTCCGCCATTCCCGCGAGGTTGCCGGTGGGGTGAGGGCTGCGCGTGTGGCCGCGAGCTATTTTATGTCGCAGTATTGTGATCTATTTCTGAAAGAACGTTTGCCACCAGGGACCCTTCACGCGCGGTGCGCGGCTCCCTCTGGCGCGGCCGTGCACGGAGGGCCCGCCCGGACCCCGGAGACGCGGAGCGGCGGGCGCCTCCCCTCTGCGCCCCGGGCACCCGCGCCGGCCGGGCCCGAGGCTGGGGACCTCTGGCGCCCTCCAGCGTCCACGGGGCGCAGTGCAGGTCGGAGCGGGGGGTCGCGATTGCGTGGAGAACGCGCAGTGCGCAGCAGCCTCGGAGCAGAGGCCTCCCCGGAAAGGGAAAGGGGACGGGGATTTGCCTGTCAGTCGCGGGGAGGACGGGGACGGGCGGGCGCCGGCGGGGGCAGTAGGGGAAGGGTTAGGCGCAAGCGCCCCCGCGTGGCGTTTTGTGGGTACAAAGGCCTGAAGAGCAGTCTCAGGCTGCGCCTGACCCAGCCCCATCGGGAAAATCCGCAGACCCCAGGGCCGCTGAATCCGACTGTAAAGACAGCGAATAGCTTTTAGTGCGAGAGTGCCGTGTGGGTGCTGCGTCCTCTGAGCGGCGTCCTGACGGGCGTCACCGTGTCCGCGGCCAAAGCTGTGCGCCCCTGCGCACACGGATCACCGCAGTGCAGGTTTGCGGGGCGCAGCACCCCAACAGAGGCGGGGCTCTCCATTCATCAGTGTCAGGGAAGAGCGCCTGGCTCTCAGCAGGTGGCGTTTGACCTGAATGCGAGGTTGAGTCAGAAAAGGTATTGGGGAGGAGAGTGACACGACCGATCCGGATTTACAAAAGACAAGTGGGTAGCAGAGAGGAAGATGGACTGGAGGAATCGGGAAGGCTGCATGGAGGCGGGGAGAGCTGGAGGACCCTGCCAGAAGTTCGCAAAAGCCACGATGGGAACAGGGACCTTCTGACTGTAAAGGGGGCACCTGTCCCCTTACCAAGGGGCCTCCCTGCCTAAGTGCACTGTGATTCCCAGCGCAGTCATTTTGCAATCAAGAATGGCACACTGCGTTAGGCACACCTTTCCTTTCCTGAAACATCAGCCCTGCTACATTTGGAAATGCTTAAAATACAGGGTCCTTTTTTCCTCTCCCTTGCCACTTTCACCTGGCTCCTTAGTGCCTGGCCTGTTCCTTTGAAGGATCCTTCTGAAAGCCACATTGACAGGGCCAAGTGACAGTGAATATGTCACTCTCAGCCTTTGGCCTTGTTGGCCCTGGGCTGCAGCCTGACTCGTTATGAACGCATGTGCTTATTTCTGAGGGAGTGTGACCCCAGACCCGTGCAGGTGGCCTGGCAGCATGTCGTGTTCCTCAGTGTTTGCTGCTTGCATGCTGCGAGCTGGACAGGAGGTCTACACAGACAGAGCTGGTAACTCTTCCACCCTCCTCCGAGCTGGGACACACTGGCAGTGCTGAGCCTCCCGGAGAATGTGCTGGTATTGTTTAACAAGGCTGTGTATCAAGGAGGAAAAGGAAACAAACATACTCTCATGAGTGTATCACAACAAATACCTTGGGGACTTGGAGGTAGAGTTCTAAGACTGGCCTGCAGGGACAGAAGGGTTTATAGGAACGAGGTAAGAGGAGCAGTAATTAGTTAATAGTAGATCACTGATCAGGAGGCAGGAGATAATTATGTGCAGAATTACAGGTTAGATTTGGTAGGTATCAGGTGATCTTGAAAGGAAGCCTTTTAAATGCCCAACAAGCTGTGGCGAGCGCCTACCATAGGGAAGAGTGCTCTCACTGTGAGGTCCACAACAGCAGGCTCCTGGAGTATTGAGCAGCTGGTTGCAAGCCTGGGCACACGTGAACGGAGAGCCAGACGGGGTGCACAGATGCTTTGGGATCGGTTTTGGGCTGAGGCCTGGGAATTTTCATGGGAGGATACACTGCCGAGAAATGGTGGTCCTGTAAGTCTTCAGGGCATTTGTGGTAAGCATGATCATGGCTCCGCAAATCCACCGTCTTCAATTTCAAATGACCTCTTGGTGTTCTCCCCCTCCTCCATCTGGAGACACCTTTATTCTAATGAACCACTGGTACATTCCTCCTCACCCTCCACACTTCTCCCCCAGCAGCAGTAGAAGCTGAGCAGCAATCCCAGAGGCTCAGGAGGTGTCTGAACCAGCGACCCAACTTTTCCTCTTCAGTTTTTAAGTTCTGCACAATATCCCATTATACATGCATACACTGACACATGAGGCATTGCAACCCCACAGGTTCTTCAGAGAATGTTGCTGACAGAGGGCCCTGGGTGAATCTCCTGGAGGTACCAGGGCACCCACTTCCTCAGGGCTCCAAACCCTGGGCTCCACCAAACGGCCTGAGCATCCTGCTCTCACCCAACTCATGGGTGGTACCCCTCCTCCTTCCCCTCGCCTCCACCTGTATCACCTTTAATGAGCTTGACAGGATCTCAGAAGTCAGCATGAAAGCATCTCGCAGCTGCTGTCTTCTGCTCAGAGGACAGAGTGTAGAAAACAGGAAGGGCCTCAACAACTTCTTCAGAACCAGAAGGTGTGCGGGTAGAACAGAAATACCGAGAACTCAAACAGGTATCCAGTAACAGCTCATGTGCTGCATGGGCCCTGCAGAGAGGCAGCAGAGCAGGGTGACGGAAAGCTTGGAATCTTCTTGGCTCTGCCCCTTGTATGCTTAGCTCTCTCATAAGGAAAATAAGATGATAGTTATGGTACTCATTCCACTAAGGCCGTGAGGATCCACTGACCAATACACAGGACTATGATATTTAGTCGTGGGGCATAAAACGATAGCTGTCATTAAGCCTCTACTTCCACTGATGTAAAAAGTGATGCTCCTGTACCACACTGCCACTCTAAAGTGGCTTCTTTCTCTCTTCCCTCCTCTCTCCTCCTTTCTCAGGAAGACTCTAAGCCCAGACCTCTGCCTGCCCAGCTGGTGATGCTCACCGAAGAATGGACTATTCTAGTGGGGATGATGTTGCTGACCCATGGTTTTAGGAATTTGATCGGAAGGACACAGTGCTCTCTGCTGATGGAGCCTGGCACCACTAGAGGTGTGCATCTTGCCGGTGAAGCAGCCCTGGGCCAGGCATCCTCTCTTCTCTCCTTAACTGGTTTCTCCTTTCAACTCTTGAAGACTTGTTTGGTTGGAGATGTCTCTATACCCCCAGTATAAATTTGGTCTAAACTTGGCCCCACATGGCATTCTCTCTTATATTTTCTCTTTTTGCTCTCTACTATTAGCCTTTATTCAATTTTTAATGATGGGTATTTGTGTGTGTATTTATTCAAGGTCGGCTCTCCCAGTAGGTGACATAGCTCTAGAGGGCGGAGATTAAGTGTGTTTTATTGACCAAGTCCAATGGCTTAGCTTTAACTTCTATTAAGTGAAAATGCGAACACTGCCTTTTCCTACCTCACTGAGCTGTGAAATTAAACAGATAATATGGGAAAGTTCCTTGTATCACAGAATGTGATGTGGCTCTTAGTTATGCTTAGTGCTATGTGTGTTTTGAGTATACATAAGCTGAATACCTGTGAAATGAGAGCCTAGCTAGGAGAACATTTTGTCAGATGAGATAGTAAAGTGCTTAGACAAGGATGCACACCATGATAGTGTTTATGTGTAAATTCAGAGCTGCCCCTACCTCTAAAAACTGCCACATTCATTTAGTCCAGTGGTGAGGAACTTACCGCACCCGTGCCACCAGAGGCTGCTGTGTCACTGAAAGTTCTAAAAGGTTCGTCATGACTTAGTCCCGTTAGAGAAGGCCTGGATAGGTTCTTAGACAGGTTACAAAAGGAGTACCAGGTCTGGGGAAAATTAAAACATACCGTGCAACAGTGAGGAAGCCAGAGCCCGTGGATCCTGACCATCGGAAGGGTTTTCACAAGTAAGCTCCCACGAAGGCATTCCTTTCCCACTGAGAGGCAGAGACGGCCACTGGATGTCTGCTCACCAGCAGTGGGACTGCAGATGGAGGGAAGGCACTTCCAGAGAGATGGCTGCTGCCACCAGCACTTCACAGGGAGCAAACGGGAGGAATGTGAAGCTCTGTAAGCCTAGATGTGGCACAGATATATATGCAGCATCTTCTTTGGGACAGAGAGTTGGAGGAGGTGGCTGAATAAGTGTTCCATGAAGGCCATGTGTTCCCAGTTTGCTCCCTATCCTGTGGCCCTACTGAGAGGCTACGGAACGTTTAAGAGGCGGGGCCTCATGTAAAGAAGGGAGATCATTGGTTGTGTGCCCTTGAAGGGCACCCTGAGACAGGGCACCTTCCTTTTTTTAGGTTTCCTGACTTCTTGAAGTGAGCAGTGTTTTCTACAGTGCACTCCCATCATGATGTGCTGCCCTGCCATAGGCCTAAAAATATCTGACCAACCAACCATGGTCTGCAACCTCTGTAATGTGTTCCAAAAATAACCATTTTCTCTTTATACAGAGATTATCTCAGATATTTATTGTAGTAACAAAAATCTGACTAACACATTAGAATATGAGATCTAGACTGCCACCCCTCTGCCTTTGATAGGCGAATCAGGAACAATAAACGGTCCATTCTGGCAGCCAGTGTGGGTCATGCATTACTGAAGTTGGGAACCCAAATACAAGATGCTAAACTTAGAAAACAGAAAAATCATGTGGAAACAAATCTAGTAAGTTTTCCTTCACTGAAGCCATTTTAGGTTTTGTCCTATTTCTTAGGAAACATGATGTCAACACTAACTGCCCTGGTGTTATTCTTTGTTGTTTAATGTGTCTACAATTATGAGTCACTACTTAGTAAGCTATTTATAGTTTGCATGTTTGGGACATCCCTGGTTCTCCTAGGACACCAGATTCCCTGTAATTGGATGAGAATCTAGGTTTTTCCAGCCTCTCAGCTCATGACTCTGTAACTTTCTGATTCTTTATATAGCTGTGACTGCCTTTGTGCTCACAGAGGTGACCAGTGATTTCAGAATAGGTCAGGTAACAGATAAGGCAGGGTATGATGGTAATGGGCCCTCTGATGGCACGGGAAAGTAGATTTCATACTGGATCCAGAGGAAGACAGAGCTCTTTTACTGATCCAAGTTAAGGAAAAATAGCAAAATAAAACAAGGTTTAGAAAGACATAAGCAAAGATCACACATAATTCAGGAGGGGATGGGCTGGTGGCCACATGTGAGGACAATTAGGAGGAGAAAGGATATAAATTTGTATAAGCATATATTTAAAATTTTAGGTAGGCCAATAATTGCTACTAGAATTCAAGTTTGATTGCAGGCCCCAGGAGCTTGCAGTTAAGTTCTCTCATCTGTCATGGCACCGTGCCTGCATAGAAGGGTTCCTTCAGACCCATGCTCTAGGTGTCCACCTCACATTCCTTCTAGAGTTTCTGTAGTCACAGGCCATGTAGCATTAGGGACATGTTGGAATAGAGGTCAAGGGGGAGCCTCAGAGGGAGACCCAGGAACTAAAGACCTCCTGTGCACACTGTCCTACCTCTGTGGAATGGACTTAATTTAACTGAACTTTTTAGAGAAGGCTGTATAAACTGGTTGTTGATAGGAAGTGGGAAACCCAGGGACAGACTGTGGCGAGGTGGGAAGGGGAGGGCTAACAAGAAAGAAAGTGGCCCAGAGTGGATCTGGTAATATTAGTATTCTGGGACACAAACCCCAGCTCTGGGTGTCCCAACAGACCTGAATCAGCCAGCGCTCCATAATGTCCAGCAAGGAGATGAGCAGTGGTGAAGGGGTGGAAAGGAGCTTTACGTGGCACGGCCATCTCAAGGTCTTCCTGGAGGGGTGGAAAGAAACACTGGTGTTTCAGGTAAAGGGAAACAAAGGCAAGAGTTGGGGTTCTGCATAGGTGGGGAGCTTACACAGCTGGTACCTTAGTTAATCCTGGCCAGTATCCCAGAACTAGTTCTCTGGGGTCTAAAGACAGCCATCACTGCTTGAAGGGACAGTCTAGTTCCCATCGTAAGATGATGGCTCCTGCTTTAGGGATAACTTCATTCTGTCATGGGGTAATTGTTCACACTTTGGGAGAACCTTAGCATGGTGGTCAGCTTTTCCTGGAGTCCAAGACTGCAGGTTTAGGACAACAACTTGAGGCTCCTAAGCATTGCTCCAGGGGATCTGGATCCTGATGTTGTAAAAGCTGGGTATTAGACAGTCCTGCAAATCCTGAAAATCGGTTACAGTTGCTATCCTCACTATGAAGGGGTTGAGACAAGTTAGGTAAAGTTAGGCTTAATAAACTTCACCTTTAAGTGATTAACACTGCCTATGTGCAAAGCCGAGCAGGGATGAAACCCAAAGTTTTAAGACAACAAGACATACAAAATGAAGACAGGTGACAAATTTTGTAATGCATGTAGTTGCCACTGGCATTTGAAGACCCTGCCTCTAGGTCCCTGTTACGCTGGAAGAGGAAAATCACAGAGAGAGGCAGGGGACAGGGAAGGGAAGGGTATGAGGTTTCTCCCTTTTGCCCAAGGGCAGCCTCTGCCCTCCAGGACCTGAGCAGTTGACTCAGGAAAGGCTCCAGCTCCATCCACCCTGCAGTTCTGCAGGAAGGCCCTGGCCTCCTTCCCTGACACACCGCATGCTCACTGGCAGGTTATTTCTGGAAGGCTCACAGCAGAGTAAGCAGGGACACAGGACAGCCTGCAAGTTGGCGGCCTGGGAGTGGAGACAGGGGAGCTTTGTGTACCTGAGCCCAGAGCAGCGCCCACTTCTCTTCTGCACAGTGGGCCCGGCTTCAGGCTTCCAGGCGACATGCGGGGCTTCCTCCTCTCCACTCTCCTCTGCGCAGAGCTGGCACAGGTGAGCGCCCCTTCCTCCTTCCCTCCCGGAGGTTTTAGCTGCCCTTGATCTTCAGGCCAAAAGAGGAAAGGAAGATGATGGGGAGAAACTTTCTTGTGGAAACACTGCTTGCGAACAGGGAGCCATTTTGTTCTCTGAGAATGTTCTGCTTCAGTTTCTTGCTTCAGAAAGAAATGCAAAATGTTTTTCCCTTTAAGCTAAAGGTGCTGAAGCCTGATTTGCTGTGTTCAAACAGTCTGCACATTTGACTATGTATATATTTTATCTGAGTCTAACATGCACTGTCTCTCTGGGACATGACTGTGTTGGCTGCCACGGTGGATCAAACATTGTCACTTCATGAGGACTTTGGGCTGGGGTGCAACTTTTTGTTTTCCAACTTTCAGTTTGCAAATGTGCAAAGAGCCCCTGGCAAAATAGATTTGAGTAAGAACCTTTTTTCACCTAATCCTGTTTGTATTTGAAAAGAGCAATTCAGAACAAAAACTTACAATTTAAAAGTCTATTACTTTGTCTCTTCTCAATACATGTGTATCTCACTTTTCCTTAAAAGGAACCAGTTCCTGAAGGCTTTGAAAATATTTAATTAGAATAAATCACTGCCTGTATGTTTTTAAATGAGAGTGAAAGAACATGATTTAATGATTTATTTTTATGGATGGAAGCAATTTCCGGCAAAGGGGACAGAGCTCTTGCAATATTCTGGTGATTTAGAAACCGCAGATGTGTCTGTGAGTTCCTAGTTGATCCTGGTAGTGAGCAGAGGATACACAAGGGTCTGAAGCCAGACTCGGTGACATAGACCTGTAATCCTGGCACCTCAGGAGACTGAGGCAGGAGGCCTGAAGTGGCATTCCTGCTGTGAGTGGAGGGACACACCTTCCCATGGAGGTGACGCTGGGCTGTCTCTTGGTAAACATTGCTGCAGACTGAGTGTTTCTACTCACGTGTAAGCAGCAAATATTCTAACACAGACATAGGCTGTAAAATATGCAAATGTGGTTTTACCTAGGGAAGGAGTATTTTGTGTTTAACTTGGCTTTCATGCATTTTGCAAGAGTCTGATGATGTCTGCCATTTCTTGAGCATTTGCTGTGTGTGAAGCACCGTGCTAGGTTTGCTTCTCTTTATCTTAATCCTGAACCAACCTTACCAGCTGCCTGTTACCAGCCCCGCTTTAAGAAGGACTCACACTTAAAAACTGGATGATGGTTTGGGTGTGGCTGGTGCACACCTGTAATTTCAGCTCCTCCTGAGACCAAAGAAGGAGGGTCACCCATTCCATCCCTGCCAGGCAACTCAACAGACCCTGTCTTAAAAAAAGGATGAGGCATCGCCCAGAGCAAGGCCCTCAGTTCAAAATCCATTTCAAACACACATACCCATGCACGAACGCACGGGTTCAGATCTTTCTTGAAACACTTACTCTTTCTATCTTTGTAATCATTTTAATGACTTGTGTCTTGAAATTTTGCTTTTCAAATAAATAAGCTGTGTGTAAAAAATATAAAGTTCTGTGAATTCCACCATGCATTTTCTTTTCCAGTGACTCTATTTCTTCTTGTTTTTCTGAGTTATTATCTATGGTAGTTTCCTTGGTGTTTCTTATAAGGCAGGTCTACTAACAACAATTTCTCTTAGCTTTTATTTAGATGTGTCTTTTACCCTTATTTTTATTTTTATTTTTTTTGTCTTTTTCCTTTTTTATTGGTACCAGGGATCGAACTCACGACTGCCTGCTTGCAAGGCAGGTGCTTATGCCGCTGAGCTAAATCCCCAGCCCCTTTTACCCTTATTTTTGAAACATAAGTTTCACTGGGTATGGAATTCTAGGTTGACATGTTTTTGTTTTGTTTTGCTTTGCTTTGCCTTTATTTATTTTTAGCATTTTACCTGGGAATCTTCACCTCTTCCTCCTGGTTTTTCTGTTGATGAAAAGATGTCATTTTTCTCTGTATGTAAGGCTTCTCTTTTCTCAGCTTACTATCAGACTATACTGTTCATTCATGGGTTTCTGTGCTGTAGAAATACTTCATGACTGGGAAAATAACTGGGCATTCCCAGGTGAGCAGTTTGTTTTTTCCTTTATTTTATGAAAAAAATAAAACAACATTTCTTAACAAAATAACAAGAGAATAACAGTAGTTAATACACTATATATTGCTATCTTCAAAGTAGTACAAGACACACCAAAAAGATTCTTACAAAAACAGAAACAGATAATAACATAAAACTTTCTCTTGAAGAATGTAAGATAAACTTGTATGAATGGAACAAATTAGCATATATATTAAAATATTTTGAAACAACAAACTATATAATCTGGGGAAGTGTATAACTTCACTTCCTAATTTTCTTTTATTTTGCTTTTTATTTGTATGTTTGCATATATTTTGTATTTCTCATGTAAGAAAATCACATATTTGAGCTTGTGTCTAACTTATTTCACTTAAAATTATGTTCTCAAGTTGCATCCATTTACCTACAAATGCTTCATTTATCTCTCTTTAGGGCAGAGTGGTACTCCATTCTGTGTAAAGTTTCCTTGCCCATTAATCTGCTGGACATATATGCTGTTTCCAAGATGTAGCTTTTATAAATGGTGCTGTTGAAAGCATGGGTATGCATATATCCTTGGAATAGGATGATTTTAACTCATTGTGGAAGACACCTAGAATGGAGATAGCTGGGTCAAATGGAATTTCTATTTTTGTTTTTTTAAGGACTCTCTACACTACTTTCATAGTGGCTGTACATTCTAACAACATAGAAGACTTCTTTTTTCTTCACATCCTTAGCATTTGTTAGATTTTCTTAAATGATAGCCATTCTCTCTGGGGTAAGATGATATCTCAGAGTAGTTTTAATTTGTATTTCTCTGATGGGCAGAGATGATGAACATTTTTTCATGTATTCATTGGCCATTTCTAAATGGTTATGTTGAGATAAAGGGCTAATATACCTGTTTCTTTCAGGTTTGGTTTTTTATCATGAATGGAAGATAAATTTTTTTTCAAAGGCTTTTTCTCCATCTATTGAGATGATAATGTGGTTTTCGTCCTTGGCTCTGTTTCTGTGAATTACATTTACTGATTTGAGTTGAACCACCCATGAATTGCTGGGATAAAGTTCACTTGGTCATGATATATGGTCTTTTTGATAATGTGTTGCATTCTGTTTGCCAATATCTTAAGGAGTTTTGCATCTATGTTTGTTAGACAATATGGTCTATAGTTTTCATTTTTAATTCAATCCTTTTTCTGGTTTGGGGATCAGTATAAGGTTAGCTTCTGAGAACTATTTTGGAAATACTTCTTCCCTCTTGACTTCATTAAAAAGCTTTGAGTATTACAGGTAGATTTTCCCCAGTTTTTGTAAAATTCAACTGCGAATCCATCAGGTCCTGGGCTTTTCTTAATTGGTTATTTTTTTTAAAAAAATAGTGCTTCCATTTCATTGCCTTCAATTTCACTGGATTTTTCAAAATTTTAAAGTCTTCTTGGTTTAATTTTGGTCATATGTATCTAGGAATCTTTCCATTTCTTTTGAGTGTTCCAGTTGTTTGGCATACACTGTACACTGATGAAGTAGTTGTTAATAATATTCTGGCTTTTGGCAGTGTCCACTGTGATTGCACCTTTTTCATTTATAAATGCATTAATTTGTGACTTTGCTTCCTTTGTTTTGTTAAGATTTACTGAGGGTCTATTTTTATTCATTCAAAGAACCAATTCTTTGATTCATTGCCTCTTTTTTTCTTTTAGTCTCCACTTAATTCTGCTGTGATCTTTATAATTTCCTCCCTTATCAAGCTCTGTGTTTGGGTTGTTCTTGTTTTTCTAAGACCTTCAGATGCCTCATTAGGTTTTTTGGGATTGTTCTGTTTCTCTGAAATGGAAATTCACTGCTATAAATGTCCCTTCTAGGATTGATTTCATTTTGTCTCATACATTCTGGCATATTGTATGGACATTATCATTTAATTCTAGGAACTATCTTATTTGTTCTTTAATTCCTTCTGTGATCCATTGATTATGTATGTGTATTATTTAATTTCCATACATTTGCATACTTTTTTTTTTTGTGGTACCAGGGATCGAACTCAGGACCTCACACTTGCCAGGCAGGTACTTCTGCCACTGAGATTAATCCTCTAACCTCGGTGGTTTCTTTTGCTATTGACTGCTAGACTGTGCTGGGTGGGAGATAAGACACACAGTGAAGGGAGATACTGGAAGTATTAAGCAGGGAGACTATAATGTTTAGAGATCAGAGGCTGAGGAAAAAGTGGCAGAAAAGAGGAGCAGTGAAAAAGGAGAAATTAAAAAGTTACTACTATTATTATTATTTTCTTGGTACCAGGGATGGAACTCATGACCTCACTCTTGGCAGGCAGGCGCTTACACCACTGAGCTAAATTCCTAGCCCTGAGCTATGTTTTGGAAGTTGAATGGAGAATCGTTTACAGAGTGACTGTTTCAAATGGTGACAGAACCACATGTGTTCTACCCATTTTGGGGAAATCTAGTCTTACAAGACTTCTGAAATTTGATTGAGAACTACTTCTAACCCGGCTTTTATTATCAAATGAAGTTTTGCTGCAGGGCACAGGACCCAGGGCAGGTAGACGGAACACCTGCAGGAGGGCCCGGAGGAGCCACAGAAGTGCTTCAGCGAAAACAGTTTTGTCACTGGCCCTGCAGCTGCCCACATCAGAAGCCCAGCTGCCCTCCTGGTGTGAGCCTGGTGAGAGACGGCTGTGGCTGCTGCAAGATCTGTGCCAAGCAGTCGGGGGACATCTGCAATGAAGCTGAGCTCTGTGACCCACACAAAGGGCTGTACTGTGACTACTCAGCAGACAGGCCTAGGTATGAGACCGGCGTGTGTGCCTGTAAGTGTCTTTCTCAGCTCCGGAAAAGGCTGAGGCCGGTGTCCCACCCCCAGTTCCTAGTTTAGTGTGGAGAGCTATGTTTGGCTAAATAAATACACAATAGGTTTAGTTTCTGTAGACACTGGACAGACTCCACTGTTCTGGACACCAAGTGAAATGAGTGGATACTTACTCATATTGGAAGCCTCTGATCTGCACTGCACTGAAGTGATCTTTCAGGTCTTTTCTGCTAAGTGTTTTTAATGATAGAAAATAAAAGAAATTAATAAGAGTCTGACTTCTTCAAGTGCCACAAAATGACAGCTTTTGTTATTATTGCAAAAAAAAAAAATTGGATCCAGCTCTTTCTATAAACAACAAATCCTATTAAAAAATAAGGGTGTAGAACAATAAAGGTACACATAGAGTGATTAAACCTACTGTCTTAATCTCAGCCTTGCTAGCTAGCCAATGAGTTCCTGGAAGTTTCTATTGTAGCAATCTTGTAAGAAGGAACTTGGTGTCACCCCCAAACCACAACTGTACCCTTAACTGTGCAGACTTAAACTCTGAGGTCTAATTCAGACCATCTAGGGCCACAGCACATTAGCACTAATTCAGAACACAAGTATCTCTGTGACAGAGATACTCATGTCACTGGGTAAGTTAGTCATCCTGTATAAAAGTGTGTAAGATGATTTCCCACTAGACATTTGGTTGTGAGCAGAGGAGAGTGTCTTTAATTTGGACTGAACCATGGAGAGCCACTGAGTACCATACTGTATTAGTTAAGAATGCAGGATCTGGATTCAAATTCTGGTTGTTCTAACTGAACTTCAACAAGTTCCTCAATCTCTCTGAGCCTCGGTTACATCACTGTACTTTTCCCGTCTTACAGGGTTTGCTGGGAAGATGAAATGAAATGACATAAAACCTATGAACACTTATACCAATATCTGGTATGCAATAGAGTCTCAAAAAACACTTAATATTTATGAAAATTCTTTTTTTTGTGTTATTGGATTTTGAACCCAGGTCCTTTGCTCTGAGCTACACACTCACCCTTTTTTTAAAATTTTGAGACAAGTTCTCACTCAATCGCCAAGTTGCCCAGGCTGGGCTCACACTTGAGCTCCTCCTGCCCAGCATCTCGGCATGCTCGGATTGTAAGTATATACCTTGTCATACAGCCTTATTATGAAAATTCTATGGGGGAAAACATAACGTATCAAAACGTGTTTGGCTTTCAGGATACCTCTTTCTCCATATGAGGCAAGATATTTCATGACTCTAACAAATACTTACTAAGACTGCTACAGAGTCAGACACTGTAGCCAGTTACACAAGCAACAGAACAAGGGGAGGGAAGGGCCAGGAGAGAAAAGAGAAGAAAGAAAATGGCCCTCCTGTGACTCTAAGTTTATTGTGTCAGATCTTTCTATAGGTAATTTCACATAAACTGTGATAAGATGTTTCGCCACAGCCATGAAAATGGGAATGGGGATAATCTACAACTAGCTTAGGTACATACTTACTGTTTGGCCCTTATAGAAAATTTGCTGATCTCTGATCTGTTAAAAAAAATATAAGGATGTACATAAATCTTTAAAAATATTTTGGTTTGGGAACGCTTTACAGTCAGCCATTAATGAGGACCAACAAAACTTTCATTTATTTGGGTTTTATCTACTGATAATTAATAGATTAGGAGTTCAAAGATATTTAATAACTCATTTAAACATAACAAACCTGCTATAAGTAGAAATACTATAGTGTTATAAAAAAGAAAATTTAGTGAGGAGACTGGCATACTTTTGTATTTCTGCAGATCTCTCTAATGTAGAGGTCAACAGATGACAGCTAGATTTTCACATCTGCTTCTGCTTTCAAGGTTTTACCATATGTTTTTTTTTTGGCTGAAATATATAAAGAAAATCACAGACAACTGATTGGAAAAGGAAAGGATATTTTAATAAGCTTCCCAGATAAGTATTAACATGCTTTTTAATGTTAACATGTGATAAGTGGTAGATGCTTCCCTAAAATTGCATCACAGAACCTGAAAATATATCAACAAACCTTCATCTTTGTTTATATTATATTATCTAAGACCTACTTGGAATTCCATCTTTTACTTATGCATAAATCTGTCATTCGAAGTTTTGTTCATTGAAAAATATTGGTTTACTGTATCATCAAGTTCAAACTATACTTCATTAAATAATATTAAATAATATTTAATATTAAATATTTAATATAAATTAATACTTTAAAATCCTATTAATATCACTCTCATTAGAAAAGTCTACATATTATTTAACTAAAAAGAGCCTAGTGGTGAATATCAGTTTTCCAAAGTTCTATCACTGTAATAAATACTGTTATTTTCCTTTAAGTGACAGGTTCATTCTAATCATTTTCAAGAGATGTCTCCAAAGTACCCATGTCTGAATAACCATAGTTTATCTATCAAGCAAAACTCTTCCAGTAAAATTCCCTTTACAAATTAGCTAATTCAGCCTACAACTTGAACATGATATAGGTGCTTTTCCTTAAGACAGTAATTATATTTGGCTATACAGAATTTAATACAATTAGTAATTTTATTGTGCTCTGAAGGACATTCTTAGGTAAAAGTAGCTTTTCTGCCTTAACCTGAAAGTACAAGTGAATGGGAAGAAAGATTACAGCAGCTGCATGTATAGTTTAATCCACGCTAAAACACCTGAGATTTTAGCCTTAATTGTTTTGTAACACCAGTGAAAATATCAACAGTGAAAAAAGTCTTATACCTGACTATATTGAAGAGTTCTGACCCTGGAGATTTCCTGAAAACATCTCAGCTGCTGCCAAGAGGCTGGTGGAACAAACTTGCAGAACTGCTGAGCCAGGACAAGAATATTCCTCCCAGAAAGTGAAAGTCACTGTCAATTTTTCTTTACCTTGGAAAACTGTACCTAAATAAATTATGGTTTCCTCAGACATTCCTTTATCTTGTCTTCCTAAAAGTGTGTTCTTAGCCTACTGTTGGATGTCTGGGGAGGTTTCAGTTCCCCTGAGCATCAACATATCCCTTCAATTGAATCTTACTTCTTCGGTTTTAAAAAATTAAAACTGCAGAGCAGGGCTTTTAGTTGGTTTTACACCTGGAAATGATCAGTTGCAGTTTATAGCCTACATATCATAATACTGTTTCATTTTAACCTATCTATAAATCTGTGAACGTTTCCAAATGGGGCCTAAGAAATTGAGAACTACATTTTATAAAGCACATAGCTATTTGTTTTAAAGTGTCACAATAGCTAAATCTTGGAAGCAGCCCAGATGTCAAACAAATGGATCAAGAAAATATAGAATTTATACCCAACAGAAGACTCTGTCATAAAGATGGATAACCTTGAGTAATTTTTAAGAAAATGGATGCATCTTGAGACCATAATGTTGAGTGAAATTAATCAGACATACAAACTTAAATATTCCTTAGTTTCTTTCATATGAGAAATCCAAATTATAAAGAAGAAAATAAAAGCTAGATAATAGGCAGTCTTTCTCAAATGGGAAGAGGATCAAGAATGGAGAGAGGGGGCACGAAGGGAAAGGGATGAAAAAAGGAATTGAGATCTGTCATGGGCATGTACCAACTCCACACAAGGAATGTAAACATTATGTACTGTACACTTGTACTAAAATAATAAAATGTATAAGCAGAGGTCTAAGTATTCAGGTTACAGTGACTTTGCCAATTTTGCTGTTTTCTTTTCAGATCTTGTGGCTGTTGGATGTGAGTTCAACAGGGTCCATTACCATAATGGCCAGGTGTTTCAGCCCCACCCCCTGTTTAGCTGCCTCTGTGTGAGTGGGGTGATTGGATGCACACCTCTGTTCAGACCCAGGCCCGCTGCCAGCCACTGCTCCGGGAGTCAAGCTGGAAAGAAGTCTGATCAGTCACACTGTGGCCTGACACAGTCACAACAGCAGATCTCAACAAGCTACAGAACCATGCCAGGTGCTCAGAAGTACAGCTGTTTTTCATGCATGACTTTTCTTTCAGCTTTTTTCTGTCCACACTCAGGTTCTGATTAAGTATTTATAGCCTGGTGGTCAGAGAGAGGTTTAGGCTGAGGGTACCCTCCTACTTGGTCTTTGCCTCAGGTAGGTCTATTCTAAATATCGCAGAAGGAAACTATAATGTTTTGGACTTTGCTGGTGAAATATTCCAGTTTTTAAAAATTTACTAGGTCAGGACACTCTTCTACATTCTTACATTTCTGCTTATTCCCAACCCCGTCTCTGGAAAATTCAGCTCTGTGTTCTCACCCAGAAATCAAGAATGCCTTTTAAGAGTTTAGTGAAAGGTACAGTGGAGCTACAGGACATTTGTGTATGCAAAAAACCACAAACAACAACAAACCTCTAAGTTATTTTTTGTTAAGTGGATATTCTGTAAATGGAGCTATAACCAGATAAGTGAGTTTTAGACATTTATAAACTGCTAACTCTAATGAAAAGAGCCTCCTTGGGGACTCTTGATTATGTCAGTTAATTAAACAAAAATTACCAGGCTTTTGTGAATTTGCATTTACATAATCATTCAGTTAACATGACACTACTAATGCTTTAAAATGATACGCCAAGTCATTCCTTTTTCTTTATTGATTTTGGTGCTGGTGAGTGAGCCCAGGGTCTTGAACATGCTATGAAGTATGCACCTTACCACTGAGCTAGCTATACTCTTGGCCCCCAAACTGTTCCTTTTTCAAAGCATACAGAAACAGATGGCTTTCTGCATGACATCTCATTGGCTCAACATAAGGCTCCTGTGATGATAATTTACAGCTATGCTTTCACTTTGCTGGACCCGTAGGAAACATGCAGTGACAGTGCCTTCATTCTTTTCTTGGTGCTCACAAATATTAAGCTCTTATTTTATACATTTCTTCTATTTTTCCTCCACATTTCTTCTATTTAAACATTTAATGAATGTTTAAAAACTCTTGTCCTACAGTTCTTGGTTTAACTTTAAGCAGAGTTACTTCTTGGTAACGTGATAATCTAACCTACCTTTATTTATTTCAGATGTGTGCCAGGCTTCTAATCTGCTTCCTGCATTGAGGTCTTTAATCTGCTGTCTACTTTCCAGGTATCTTCATGATTCTGCTTTTTCTCTCTCGCCTGAGTGTGCAATTGCAAGATCCTACTGTAATGACAGTGAAAGCAGTATTACAATGTTTTATTGAATGATATACATATTTCAAAGGGTTTGATACTTTCTATCAAGAAGTTTTTGGGGTCTTTAAAAATTTTTTTCTTTATTGGTATTGGGGATTGAAACTGGGGCCTCATATATGTCAGGCAAATGCAGCACTTTTTAGAATTTTAAATAGCTATTTTGAATATGGCCAGAATTCTGCTATGTCAGCTGTAGACTCAAATCACAACTTTACTACCAATTTACTCTTTTTTCTTTTTCCTGATACTGGGAATTGAACTCAGGACCTCGCGTTTGCCAGGCAGGCATTGTGCTGCTAAGCTGTATCCCCTGTTGGATAACTTTACTCTTTTTTTTTTTTTAAATCGGTACCGGGCATTAAACTCATGACCACACTCTTGTAAGGCAGGTGCTTATGCCACCGAGCTAAAGCCCCAGCCCCCAACAACTTTACTCTTAAAGCATCTATTTTAAGATGTACATTAACCTAAGGAAATGCCCTGAGACAATAAATATATAGCTTTAAAATGAACTACTGCCCGATTAATTTGCAAGTATAATATCTATAACAAGAATGTAACAAAACAAGTGTATCTCATGGATAACATAGTAAGGATCTCCCAATGGATCTAGAGGGAGATGAAAAACCATACACCCTCTCTCTCTCTCTCTTGTTTCTCCTACGCGGCAGCGAATGGAGGGGCTGTATTCACTTATTCTCTGCTCCATCCATAGATCTTTTCTATGGATCTGTATGTTTCCGTAGGTGACCCTCAATGGCTAGCCAATGAGAGAGTACTACAGGCCTGACATGAGAAATGTGCAATTAAACTGAATGAATGAGATCATACATTTGCAATGATTTAGTACATAAAATTATTCAGTGCAGTGTATTACCTGTTCACTTCATTACAGAACTTTCTTAAAGAATAAATTTAAACAGTAGAGAGAAGCTGGTCTCATTGATAGTCTAATTTGCAAAAATTAATTTCTGTATTTTGTATTTTAACAAATGAAACCATAGCTGTGTTTAATGTCTTGAATTTCCTAACTCTATCAATGTTTATTTTAATGTCTATTAGAAATGATATCAAGAATGACACAGACCAAAGTAAATACAGGTCATCAGTTGGAACAAAAAGCTTAGGTTTAGTACTCAGAGGATGGGTTAAACCAGCTATCCCCAACCTTTTTGGCATGAGATTGATTCTGCAGATTTTTTTCTATGACTGGTGGATGGTTTTGAGATGATTCAAATGCATTATATACACTGTACACTTTATTCATGTTACTTCATTATATAATGAAATATACAAAGAAATAATTGTACAACTCACCATAATGTAATAGCAGTGGTAGCCCTGAACTTGTTTTCCTGCAGCCAGATGGTCCTTTCTGGAAGTGATGGCAGACAGTGACACCCAATGCTTATGTCCAGTTGATCTCATTTTGTTTGCTGTCACTGTCACAGCAAACCCTGCTTCAAAAAGATAGGATGTTGGAAACAGAGGCAGGCTCTTCAATGCTTCTGTAGCATTCTCAGCATATTCTGCCTTGACTTTAATCCAGAATGTATGGAAATATGGAATTTAAAGGCTACCCTCATTTGTGATCTCAGGCAGTTGACCCAAACTCATGGTAGCATGGATCATTCAGCCCACCTTGCAGATTCACAAATGGGTCATGGATCAAGGTTTTTCCCAGTTCAGGGTGGTGGTGGTGGTGTGGCTTTTGTGGTGGGGAAGTAATACTTAAACTCTGTTGAAAACTGAGGTAGGTGATCATGTACCAGCTGGGAGAAAGCAAGCCCTGGCTCAATCTCTTTCAAATCTCAGCAAAACACGTCAAAAATGGCAGGATTCATTTGATGCTTCCATAATTCTAGTTTGGGTTTGAATGTGTCCACTTAATCCATGGACTTGATCTCTAGTGTCATTCTCTCCTGAAGTGACTTACTGTTTAATGTCATGAGTAGGCAAGTTTTGCAGCTTACTCTATGTCAATGAAATACACTGCCAGTGGTGACAGTTTTTCTAAAACAAAACTCTGGAGTGGCTCTCATCACTCCAACTCTGGCCAGTGAGCTGCCTTTAGGAAACTGTCTCACTTCTGTATATAAGAGAAGACTTGTGTGCTCTGTGTTTGTCTTCAGAGCTCCATAAACAGAACAGATGTGAGGCAAGGGCATGTACTTCAATGCTGACAATTTTAATCACATCCTGCAAAATGTTCGGTCCAGGCGACGTGTTTCAGCTAATCAGCATAGTGACACATTCAGAAGCAACCTCTTTTAAACTGAGAGGTGAAACCAGGAAGCTGTCTGGTCATAGCAATCACTGTCTGTGCACATATGAAATGGCCAGTTCAGTTTTCCTGATGGGTTATCATTCAAAGACTTGAATAGTTTTGTGTGCTGTGCGATTGGCTGACAACAAAGTACATACATTTCTTTATGTATCTCCTCCTGAAAAATACATGAAACTTGCTATGAATACTAGATTTGTCAATGTGAGTTTCTCACGACTCATTAATTCTAACAGTTATGCCTTGATATTGTCTGATATTTCAACAGTTTGTCTAGTTACGGTACTACCTTTTGTACTTGCTTTTCCTAAAATTTATTCACAACAAATGTCCTCAGGAGCAAGCAGGATCAACTCTTCATCACAATAAAGGACTTCTTGGCTTTAGCAATGTGGTTAGTCACTAAGAATGATGCTCAGGGCAGACACATTTAATGAAGTGGTAGCCTTTAATAATTGCTCCTATTTACATGGATTTTTCTTCTTTTGAAAAGCTTTAAAGGTTTGTCTTTTAATGTAGGGTGCTTGGTTTCCATATGGTGAAACATTTTGAATGTTACATGGCTTTGTTGGCTAGTCAGTCAACACATTATAGTGTGACTTGGAGAATGAGAATTACCTGTTGCAATGAACTTGTAATTTAAATGGTATTTTAAATGCAGCTTTCTTTTTGTTGGTAGTTTTAGAAATCTTCTGCTGTCTCATCAAATCTTTCCCTTTTTCAGAGCTTTCCAATGAGGCTTTCTAACTCATTTTGGCTAGGGATAGCTTGCAGGGTTACTGAGACAAGTGCACAGCACAGGAAAGATGCATAAAGTGGGAAACGACATAATGAGCAGCCCATGTGTGGACTAAGTAAGTGCTGGATTTTAACTAAATAACTGCCACCAAATGCAGCTGTACAGCTGTATTAAAACTCACTTGTCACTGTAAGACTGCTACCAGACGTTGCTTGTCACTTGCTCCTCACTGATAGGGTTTTCAAACTGATTTATTATGGTTTCTGTGCAGTTGAATCTCAACGCCAGTGTTGTATCTGTGGATGGCTCCCAGTGCTAGCGTGACTCAGCTCCACTTCAGATCATCAGGCATCAGATTCTCATAAGGAGCCTGAAATACAGATGCTTTGCATGTGCAATTCACAGCAGGGTGCGCACTCCTCCGAGAATCTAATGACGCCGCTGACCTAACAGAAAGCAGGGCTAAACCAAGGAAAGGCTGTACATAGAGAGAAAGCTCTGCTTGTCCACCCACCACCAACCTTTTGCTCTGCAGCCCCGTCCCTAACAGGTGATACACCTAGTGGTTAGGGCCACTGTGACTAAACTGAATGGTGGAAATGATAAAATCTTCTATTCCTTTTCAGGAAATAACTATGATGTCTGACTGAAAGGTAATTTGAGTAGTGGGAAAAATGGAACTAGAATGATGAATTAGATAATGAGCTTCTTTTATCCCTCCATTAATTTTAGCTTACAGGAATCTTCCACTTATTTGGAAAAGAAAATGTCTTGTGCAAGCAACCAAATGGACTCCATGTTCTAAAACGTGTGGCATGGGAATATCTAACAGGGTAACCAATGAAAACAGCAATTGTGAAATGAGAAAAGAGAAAAGATTATGCTATATTCAGCCTTGCAACAGTACAATGGCAAAGGCATTAAAGGTACAGTTTAATTAGACTTCATTATAATCCAGTAGAACTGTCTGTAATGTACATGTATGTATTTTGGAGGGACGGCATTTGACTGTTATATAAATAAAACCACCTCATTGTAACCACCTCATTGTAATGAGTAAAATCATTTGAGACAAAACCAGTTATTAACCTTCCTGTATTTTGTAGGGAATATTTTACCTAGTAGAGATAATATTAACTTGGAGATTCTCTTATACTCTGACAGCTCACTAATATAAGCCTTGGTCAGCCTGATTTGTTTTGGTAACCTTTCATGCAACATTTTTGGATTCTACTCTTTTCTCTTCCATATTAATTATATATAGTAGAATCAAAGTAATGAATACAAAATTTTCATTGCAATAAGAAAATTGGAATAGAGAAGTTTGATCTTGGAGTTCACACCATTTGCAAAATGCTGGGTATCAGTTTATTTCCAAAGGACTATGATAAAATATTTACCACTGGTTGGTATAACTTCTTGAAGGAAGAATTGTAATTTGTAGAAATGATATAAAATCCTTATCATTCCCAAGGGATTCCTCAGCATACTGGCAAGCTGACAGTCCAATTTTTTAAATAGATATTTACTCATCTATGTATCTATCCCAAAAACATCTGAGCTGTGTTAGGGAATTTGTTGTTATAGATAAATAAACATTTAACAAGACATAGTCCTTGATAGTAAACAAAATATTTCCATAGAATTTGGAACTGAATAAAATAAAGCAGGAAAAATTAAGTCCCATAGTATGATGGAGCAAAAACAGGGAAGGGACATTTTAAAGACAGAGAATGCTCCGAGTTACTGCACACTAAATACTAATGCACCAGAAATTGTCCAATCTGTAGGTCTGTGCCAAACATGTTCTACTCAATATTTTTTTATGTATCATAAATTAAAAGAATCACTCTTTTCTTTTCAGATCCCCAAAGGAAAAACATGCCAGCCTACCTTTCAACAATCCAAAGCTGAGAAATTTGCGTTTTCTGGATGCTCAAGTACTCAGAGTTACAAACCCACTTTCTGTGGAGTATGCACGGATAAGAGATGCTGCATCCCCAACAAGTCTAAAATGATTACTGTTCAATTTGACTGCCCAAATGAAGGGTCATTCAAGTGGAAGATGCAGTGGATTACGTCTTGCGTATGTCAGAGAAACTGCAGAGAACCTGGAGACATATTTTCTGAGTTCAAGATTCTATAAAACCAAGCATACGTGTGTGTGTGGGGGGGGGGTTTTAAAGTTAATCAGTTATGTCATATAATTAAAAAAGTAGAATGGTGGCAAATCTACTTTATAAAGAACTAAGTATAGATGTTCTCAGATCCCTGTACTGAAGACATTAGAGGCTTCTGAAAGTTTGTCCTAAAAATATATATAAAACTTAAATAGCTTAAAACTGAATTCATTTGTACAATACATAATACAGTAATGTTATACAGTCATTTGGTATCATCTCAGCATTCACTAAAGAAAAAGTTTAACTATTTACAAGAAAACATTTTATTTTACAAAATAATTGAGAGTACTTTTTTGATATGTTTAAAAACACTTACTGAATTTTTAAGCTTTACTCTGTACCTGGCAACGTAGCCTAGGTTCCTGTCAGATAATAATTAATATATGGCTCAAAGATTCCAAATAAATTCTTGAATAGAAGTAAGATTACACTATAAATATATTTATAATTTTCATTGCCCAATCCTAAATATTGTTATGATTTTAGGAGAGAGTAAAGTGAACTATTCTGGCTACTGCTAACAAGAATAATCCAAAAATTTTATACCAATGATGTTAAAAAAGTAAAATTTTAAGATTAGGACCAAGAACAGTACTAATATCTTGCAAACGAAAAACACTTAAAAGATAAACACTAAAGAAAGCATACAACAGACTATTTTGGCTTGGAAAAAAATCTTCTGAAAAATTACTTCCTTCAAGTGATAAGTCAACCTATTTATTTGAAACACAAATTATGATTACAAATAAATTAATGCTAGTTCAAATTGGAGGTTATAGTAAGTAGAACACACTATACTACAACTAGTGTGTACTACAAAGGTTAGAAGAGAATTTGAAGCTTAGTAATGTCTTATTCATTTATAAAAATGGTGACATGCAAAACAGTAACAAGTAGCACTGTAAAAACATGGACATTTATTATAAAATCAGTTGGCTTGATAAAAAGGCAACTGTTTAAATTCTTCTATGTGCAAAAGTTGTTACCTAAAGAGAAAACAAAAATCTCCTTAATAGTTGTAACAAAAGCTATTGCTGAAAAGTTAGTGGCTGTTATATGGAAATACTATTATTGTATTGTTCTACTCCTAGTAGGTATTTTTAAAGTATCAGGGGAATTTAAGTAGAATATCACAATATAAATTAAATATCTATATGAAAATATCTCTGTAGAAGATCTTTATTATCAGTGCATAAATGTCTAAACTTGGGGCTATAGATAAGGTGATCCATTGAAGAACTTCATTCTCTCAACATTCTCAAATTCCTTGAGGTACAGGAGCTTTATGAATTGCCCTCACTGGTATCATAAATAAGTTGTGATTAAGTAGAAAACAGTCTTTTAGATAAAAAATTTCCTGAGTTACAGAAAAGCTGAAACAGTGATGAGAAACGGTGAAGTCAGGCAGTGACAGCCATGCTTTCAGGTTTCCCTCTCACACAGCGACGCGCAGTCTGGGCACATCCTCCATGGGCATGCCCTTGGTGGCGTCCAGCTGGTTATACTCCTGGATGAGTGCTGACAGCGATGACACAGCTTCCGTGAAACAGCTTTCCTCCATCCCCTCCACTTGGAGATAGTGATGGAGGTGAGCCTGTAAGTGACAAATCAGATGACACTTACCATTCCAGGAACTTTGTCTAACTACTTCTATGGTAAATAGTGTCTGCTAAAATTAATCAGCTCTACCACAGAAACGGAAGCTTGCGTTAAGTATTTTGCCTAATCCTTCGAACTCATGAATTTCTCATTTAGAGTAAAAACTAGTATGACTGAGCCTCTCCTCTTCACTTACAGTCAGTATAAGAAGTGCTGCAGAAAAGGGAAGGTCAGTTCTAACTTTTACTGTTAAGCCTCAAGTAACCAAAACAAGCAGTTAAAAAGGCAGGCATTTACCTTTTTCTTGTAGAGTCTCATGAACCTCTCTCTCAGTTCAATGAAGGTAGGCTTCACACATGTGTTATTCGCTAAAGCCAATAGTGAATGAGAGTGGCCCACAGGAGGTACTGAGCACAGGCTGGTCTTCCAGCCTTCTTGATTCCAGGAGACGAACTGTAGAGAAGGCTTTAATCTGAGATACAAAAATGCAAATGTAACATAAAGTACTAAAATGTCTGTCACATTATGGCAGCCCACATTAGCTAAACAACATTACTGATGGCATCACCCTAACTGTTAAGTTTATCATCTAAGTTATCTGTTTTTTGCTATTAGTGTCATGAGATAATGTAAGAGTGAACCAGTGACATTTAATCTGGGAGCTTTTAAATAAGATGTGATGGTGATTTAAAAAGATCAAAACACATTCTCGAAAATCAGATATCTGGGGCTAAAAAGAAATGAAGATACAGTTTTCATTATTGGCAATTCAACAGTTTCCCTAAAAATAGGCTCTCAAAATAACCAAACTTGGAAACTTCCTAGCAGTAGCTATGGTAGGGGCAGTAAAAATAATTATCAGTTATATTTTCTGAAAACTTTCAGAAAATAAAATGCCTAATATGTAATTTAACACTAAATAACTTTGTAATATTTTTCTCAGATTATGCTTGAGGAAAACAAGTACAGCTAGGCTAACAGTCTGCCTGAGGTCACCCTGCAGGGAGTGGCGCTCCTTAATCAGAGGAGAGGCTGTGCAGTAATATCCCAAGCACATACATTATCCTGAAGAAGAGAAACCAACCTTTCAATATTTCTGCGAAGATCTGAAATCTGCACATTTCCTCTAACCATGAGGGCACAGGCAAGATAGAGACTGTGTTTCGGATCTGCTTGGATTAGCTGGTGATCCTTGCTGAAGGCATCTGAGAACATCTGATCCAACCTGGAACAATTAGAGCTGCTGTTTATACAGAGTGATACTACTGTCTTCTATGTATAATTTTAAAATAAAAAGGCAGTGATCTGGGGGTAAAAAAAATGTATCCTTAATATAAACATAATATGCACTTTTCTAAATATATTCCACATATATCAAATACGCACCCACTATTTTCTGAAAGGAATCCTAAGAAATGTGAGAGGAAATCATTTATCACACATTTTTTAAAAGAAACTTGTAACTAATTTTAGGTAAACACGAAATGTTGACTATAGCATTCTGAGCATGACAGAGTACTGAGTTCTGAAATCTGTATCACTATTGCTTAGTTCAGTACGCTTATCTACTTCAATAGCGTCAGAAACATCAAACTGTTAAAAATATAAGACAATAAAGATTTGTCTCTGTTAATATTATAAATGTTAAGAATAACAGAAGAGAACTATCCAAGGATAATGGGAGGCTCTCTCACAAAGTTTAAGACTACAGTAGTGCTCCCCGAAATGGAGGCTTTGAACAGAAGCACTGTATCTGAAGGTTTAAAGATAAATAAAGGATTGTCTTTTTCCTTGAGTTACAGAGGAAAATAAACATGACTGACCAGAGTTTGTATCTACCCAGTATACAGCCTCCTTCTATGGCCCCACTTTGATTTTTAAATACTATTTAACTCAATATAAACATGGCTGTGTCCCTTATCTTAACTGCAGGCAGAGCTTTAAGTGCTGAACCCACAGAATATCTGGGCAGAGCTGCAGGATAAATGCTATTTATTTTTATCAGGTATTTATTAAATGCTGACAATGTAGGTGCAAGAGATCTAGCTGTGAATAACATATATACTTCCTTCTCTAATGGCGCTCATATTCTTTGTTGATTATTATATAGAGGAGGGAGAGGGTTCCCTAAGGGACAAATGAGCTTGGGAGATTAAAAAAATCATCTGCTATTATATTCAAAATTTTGATGTACATGTGATTTTAGGCACTTTCATGGAGCCAAGTTATAGACTGCTTTAGAGATGGAGATACATGAGAGATTAACCACACAATAATGTCATATTCAATTTATTTTCTTGACACATAAAATTAAAAACTACCAAGGAAGAGTTATAATTATTGGGATACTTATTTTTATTCATATATGCTTATTACTTATTTTCACAAAAATGGACTAGGTACAAAATTGACATTTTAAACCTAATTTGCAAGCAAAAGCACTGTCATTTGTTTGGAAACTACTCATAGGAAATTAATTTTGTAACTATGCCAAAACCTTTAGAAGTACAATCTTAAAACAGTTTATTATTTCCTGGAGGTGCTGATATGGCCAACTTTGAAATACCTACTGTAGAGCAGAAGGAAAAAACAACAAAATCTCCTAAATCCCTACAAAGATAATAAGAACAGTATGAAAAATTTCTTGAGACATTTAAAAAATTCCCTAGACTTTCATTAACACAATTTAAAAACTACAACAGGTATTTTTATTAAAATATGTCAAGTAGGATTATAAATTAGTTGATTTTGAAATATTCAGGTCGAAGGATCAAGTAAGAACATTTTTTTCTTGATGCTTAATTAGAAATCGTACAACTTTTTAAAGAATTAACTCTATAAAGATGTCTGAATTATACTATTGCACAATAAACAGCACCATCTGGAAGTTTATCCATATGACTCATCATCTTCCTCAAGTGTAGCACTGTCACCTGGTTCGAATTTGAACAGTGAAACACAATCTAGTTTTTACTTTCTCAATATTCTTCCTCCGCTCAGAGTTTGGCAGGATGTTTTTCTCTTCAACCGTCTAATGACAGTGTGAACTTTTCAGGGTCATCATCACTATAGGTAAGAGAATGTTTTAAAACCACAGTTTTTGTTAAGTACATTAATGCAAATTCTGTGCTTAAAAACGACACATACATAGAAAACAAGATGTTCTGGAAATGAGATGTAATCTGTCAGTCTTTAAAGTACACCATCTTTTTTGATAAGAGTTATATATCCTTATGCATTTTCAAAAGCCTAAAATTTTAATCACTGGATTTAATTTCATATAGTTTAATACTGACATTTTTTAATTCTAAAGAAGCATTCTAATAAAAAAATCGCTATCAACTGTATTTTATATACTTCTTACATAACATGACACCAATAAGTAGAATTACTCTAAACTTTTTAAAAAAAGTACTTCAAGTTGTCAAGAAATCAGAGTTAAGTTACATCTTACCTTCGAGGAGGAATATTAACATCTGCTAGCGTATATAGAGGTGTTAGGCTTGACACAAGATAATGAAGTTGAGGAAATGGAACTAAATTCATGCTGATTTCATTAAGGTCCATATTAAGGGACCCTTCAAACCGTGCAGAGCTAAAAGACAGGTATTAAAACAATTTTAAAAAAATCCAAAATTATATACTCTGAATTAAACACATATAGGTGAAAAATTAATTATTGTAAAAACTTTACCAAATTTCATAAGGGTTTATTTAATGTACTCTATAATCTGGAATATAATAATTCTAAGAAATCTTGGAGATCAGAGTCATAGAATTCCTTTAGGTCAGCTGACAAGGAGTCATACATTAGCTGGTTTAAAAGTAAGATATTCCACAACAAAGAAAAAAGCTTAACTTTGTCTAATTAAGTATTTCTTAAGTGCGTTCACCCCAAAATTATTATTATTTCCTGAAATATCCTTAAGAAATGCTGATCCAGGATCTCAGAAATTAAAACTCTAGTCTATCCTAACAAGACAAAAACATAAGACAAAATGAAAAAGCCCTTACAAATTAGAAAAATAAACATGTGGCTACAGAAACTTCAATCACGATCAAAAGCACAGTAGTTTTCCAAGCTGGATTACCTTGTTAGATGCAGCAGCAAATTTGCCACAATGTTGTTCATTGCATCAAAGGGTTTCCTCCGTCCTCGCTGTCGTTTCTGATAAGCCCTAGCACTTGAAGTAACCAGACTGTTTGGCTTCACACTTGGACCCAACTTTCCAGAGCTCATCACGAGGTCTATTTTGCTAATGATGTCAAATAAAGACTTTTGGAAGAAAAATATTGGGAGGAAAAACTATTAAGAAAAGTAGAGACAAATGATATTCCATTAAGAAAGAAAAAGAAAAATAAACTTATTTTTTCTCTTAGATGAAAAAAGGGGACAAAATGTTTGACACAAACACATTAAGCGTAACACAGGACTAAGCATGCATCGTCTGAAGTCCACAGCTTCAGTGCCATTTCTTACTTGATTGTCGATGGGCAGCACACAGTCTGCGTGCTCGTTCAGCTCCTTCATTGCCAAGATGCTGTTATAAGGTGAGGTTATGACGTCATCCTCACTAGAAGGGTAGATTGAAGTCACAAATCTGTATACTGCTGGGAATTCATCTTCAAGCACCTTTAAAAGAAATGTGCCAAGTCCAGATCCTGTTCCTGAGGATTAAAATTTTTAAAAGAAAACAATGAAATGACATAGAATGATACTGTGAGGACCTTGGAATTTTACATTTTATTGGTAGAAATAATTTTCAGTTATTCCTATCATTATGTATTAACTAATCTAATTTCAGATAAGGAAAAAGGAGGGCAACAGATATAGTCAGGTTTTAAAGTCTATTTCTAAAGTCTATTTCTGGCTCTAAACATGAGCCAGAAATGGTTCATATTTCACTCATTTTTATACTGAAACCATTAGATGCAAAGGTAAGTTAAGTAATTGAACGGTGAAAAATTCAACTAAGCATTCAGTGTACACTTAATAGTAAATATGAAAGTTACCTAGGTTGACACTTTGGTGTAATATGCATACTTTTTTAATGATGAAGGAAACATGTCATTAGGGTCTTAAACACTGAGCTAAAAATTGTTTAAAATTAAGCTTATCCACTTTGAACTTACGAAGCTTTTAAACATGAAATTTTGTCACTACCTGTGCAGAAATATAATCTAGGACTCTGATTAAAGATAATTTTCAGATGCACAAAGTTACATTACATAAATTCAAAAAACTTTGACCATGTGGAGAGAGAAAGCTGGAAGCTTCTAAAGATTGTTCTTGAAACCATAGGCTGTGAACTACTAGTGAGCTAGGAAGTTTAATAGATTGGTACCAGTATTTTAAGTATTTTTTAAAAACCAAAACATTAGAAAGTATCGTGTCACAGGTAGTAATGTTTTCTGAATCATTTATTTCATTTTGTGTGTATGGTACTGGAATATAAACAGAATTTTTTACTATTTGATTAAAAAGGCTATGATGTTAAAAAATACTAGATGAAAAAAATATAGATGAACGTGAGGGAGATTTTTTGAGTAGTCTTTAACCACTTAGCAGTTCACCCCAAGCATCACTTGGGCAGCATGCTTGTCTGTGTACTGACTATCCTGTTTCATTTCAACCAATCAATTCTACTGAATCAACCTCATAAAAGTTGCAATTTATTTATTTCCTGTTGTCTTACTGTCTTCCTGTTTTATAAAAATTAATGAAAAAATACTCAAAGTTTGGTCATCCCATATCTTAATAATTGGACTAATAAATGGTTAATGATAGAGTAAGAATACATTACTATTAATATAAACTGGTACATTATTGTATAAAGTTACCAGTCAAAATTTAAAATGCTCATATTTGTTGGTTCCATTTTCCATATATATCAATATTGCCATAGCTAGATGCCAACGCACATATGTATGTACCAGGCATGCCCTGGTGATTATCCATAATAACACTCATGGCATGTATCAAGTACAATTCAATTCTGGGAGACAAAACTGACAGTGAAAAGACATTTAAGATAAAAGAGAAAAAATTATACAGTGAGTCATTGCATGATCTTGCTTGTATGAAAACATATATAGCTTAATAGGTATAGAAAATATCTGCAAGAATTGACATAAAAACCCCACAACTTGCAAGCTTGATTACCTGTGAGGATATTCAGTAGATATGGAAGAACTTTTCTTTCAGTCTTCAGTATTATTATTTTTATCATTTTCAGTGAATTACGTATCAAGTATATTTTTTGAGTTGTTGGATAACAGGGATTTTAAGGAAGGTAAAATAACTGTAAATCTCATTTTTTTGGTGAAAATATACTCAAGCTAGTAGGTTAATTATACTAATATAAAGACAATTTGTTTCTTAATTTAATGATTAGGATGGCTTTCTAAAGGTGTATTTATATAACAAGTATACCTTTAATTTTAAAGTTATAACAATAGATAACAGATACATGTAGCAATTATATAAAACTTGTTAAATTTAAAATTTTAATTTTGGCTTGGAGAAAAAAAAGTGTGGCAGTTTTTTCCTTTAAAAACATGTTAATTTTATTTCAAAACTGCCAAATTATATCTTGTTTCTATTTCATAGACTAGGGGAACAAAATACTTTAATACTAAATTACAGGTTTCCCTGTAGAAAGAAAGCAATATAGACTGATCATATATTTCTAGACAGATTGATGAACAACCATGTAAGAATTAATTTAAAGAAACTGAAGAAATTTCTTTTACTCTTTTCCCCTTCTCTTACTGGAGATGAGAAAAGCCTATAAGTGGCTAAACAAAGGTACTAACATTGTCTGGCAAGTACACGTTAAGAATATGCCAGAAATGCTCAACTTTAGTTATGATACAGGATTAAGCATGAAGAGAAATGATGTGTTCTTTCCAAGCTCACATATCCTGAAATGTGGCCAAGAATTCTACAAAAGTAGAGGTACAAGAAAAACAGATCCCCATACACTTCTCATTTGTGAAAAGGGCTTAACAAGAAAACATAACTGTGTAATTTCACAAAATTTTAAGACAAAAAGCTATGTATAACATACAAACACAAATGGTCTAATTCCATCTCTACTGAGCATAGGTGTGAAACCAAGTATAGGTTTGCAAATGGACTCCTACTTGAATTTTAACACTGTTATAAGGAAATGAGAAAATAACTTTACCTCCTCCCATGGAGTGTATTATAAAAAAACACTGCAAGCAATCACAGTGCTCTGCAGCTTTTCTGAGTTTCTCTAAAATCTGTTCTCGGTAAAGACTGCCAAAAACTTTCTGACCCACAGCCCTGAAAATAAAAATACACGTTTTTAAAAATCCTTGCATTTATTACTTCTTGATGTTATTATTCCTGCCCTAAATAAAAAGATTATAGAAAGATGAGAAGGTATTTTAATTGCACTAAGGGAAATACAATCTTATTGTATGCCAAATAATATTGTAATACTCTGAAAATTCTAGGTAAAAATTTAATGGTATATTTCACATATTAAATCTTCATGTATTCTGATAAAATAGCTCATTAGCAATAGATATTAAATGATGGTATTCTGTGCAGAAAACAATCATGCAGCCAGTGTGGCTACTTTTTGTAAGCAGAGTCTCAGCGGTCCTGAAGGCTTCTGGATGATTAATAACTCCTAAGGCTCTCACTAGCTCGGGGTTTCTCTTAGATTGTCATCTAAGGATGCATCAAATGTCACATCCTTTCCCACTGTAGATTACTTCATACCACACTGTCAAGAAAAGGACTGGAATAATATTTTGATGACCCAAAGAATTGGGGGCAAGAAAAAGTAGAACCTGGAGCTGCATGGTCCTGTCAGCAATTAAGGAACAAAAGTGATGAAGATTTACATCAACTTTGGTGTGAGTACTGAAAGAAAGAAGCATGCTTCTAACCTAGAACAGGAGTCCAGGCGGCAGAGGTTACCAATGCCAAGTCCAGAAAGGTTAGAAAGCTAGCTGATTCCATGGATACATTAAAGATGTCCAGTAGAAAAGATGCTTTAAGGCTTCTACAGAGTGCTCAAGAAAAAGCTAGACCCAGTGCTCAAAGAGACATCTTTGCAAGAATCATTTGACACAAGTTCAGGCAGTGGTCTATATCTCAGCACCTAAATAAAAGATGCAACAGGAAATAATTTTTTGCAGTGTCTTATGAGGATCATTTTGTTAGACTGAGAACTGAGAGACAAGCCCGCAATGAAGGAGTAAAGAAAAGTTAGGAGAAAAAATAACACAAAGGTCTGCACAAAAAGTTTCCACATCTTGCTGAAGCCCAGAAGTTGAGTCTTACCTAAAAAAAGTCTAAACTAATTTTTTCTTCCATAGTAGTATGTGTACAAAAATATATATTAAGTGGTTTATAAAGGAAAAAAAATGTTCTAATTTTATCTTCCTAGCTTTTAATATAAGAATATAACAAAAGATTTCTGCTCCATAGCTTTTTTTTTTGGTTTCTATTTAAACTGCCCCCAAACCGATTTATAGATTTAACATAACTTTAGTTAAAATATCAATAGCATTGTTCACAGACCTAGAGAAGGCAATCCTAAAATTCATGTGGAACCAGAAGAGACCCAAAAAAGCAAAAGCAAGAGGCGTCACTATTCCAGATTTGAAGTTTTATTATAAAGCTAGTTGTAAAAAGAAAAGCCCATGGTTCTGGCACGAAAGAGAAATACGTATCAGTGAAACAGAATGGACAAAACAGAAACAACCCCAGACACATTAAACTATTTGATCTTTGAGAAAAGAGTCAAAAACACACTGGAGGAATGGTCGCTGCATAGTAAATGGTGCTGGGAAAACTGGAAAGCTGTATGAAAAAGACTGAGTGTAGATCTACACTATGTCTCACCAGGTACTAACCTAAACTAAAAATGGATCAAATGTCTGTTAAAACAGAAACACCTAATTTGCTCTTTCAGCTCTGGAAGGCATGGGTGTAGACAAGAACTTTTTGAACAGAATACCACATTGCATGAGAACACCAAGAACAAATGGGATTATATCTGCTCATCAGAGAAAGCACCTAAGTATAGGGAGTTTTTGCCAGTTGGACAGAAGACTAACATCATACAACGAATTAAAAAAAATTAGATTCCATCCCCCACAAATAAAAGACCCTCTCATGGCTTGTATTTAGAAATGCCCCAAAGCCTCATGCATTCACAGATGGGGTTTTTTAGAGGTGGCTGGATCTAGGGTACGTGATGTGGGGTAAGGTTAAGGGTGCCACATCCTGGGTATGGCAACACCTGAATGGTGGGTAGCATGGAAAGGACAAAAGGACAAGGCAGCTGCTGTGCTGTCTTCTGCCTGCCAAGAACTGCTTTTGCTCTGGCATTACCACCCTGCCTTGGAGACAGTCAACTATGGTCAGAAACCTCTCAAACCATACACCAAAATAAATCTCCCTTACTTTTAAATTTGGATGCTGAGTATTCTGTCTCACCAAAGTGAAAGGTAACTAAGACAGACCCAATAAAATAAAATGGGCAATCAGAATGAACAGATACTTCTGAGAAGACATACAGATAGCTAATAAATATATGAAAAATGCTCAACACTGTTAGTCATTACAGAAATACAAAACAACTCTGAGATACAATTTTACTCCTGAAAGAATGGCTACTATCAAAAAATCAAGTAACAAATGCTGGCAAAGCTGCAGGAAAAAAGTATTTTCTAATTTTGGTGGCAATGCAAATTAGTAAAAATACTATGGAGATCAGCACAGATCAAAACACTTAAAATTAGAAATTCTATTTAGCCCAGCTAGCCCCCTTCTAAGTATTTTCCTTAAAGAGTTAAAGACATTACATTACAGTGATACATGAATTCCCATGATTATAGCAGAACAATTCAACAGAGTTAAATTCTGAAAGCAGCCTATATGCTCATCAACAGATAAACAGATACAACGTGGTATTTAGGTGCAAAGGAGTACTATTCTGCCACAAAGGACAAATTCTAGGCATTTTTAGGTAAATGGATATGCCTTTAATTAAATTCTAAGTAAAATACACATAAGTTTAAGTGCTGTATGGCTTTTCTTTTGAGGAACCCAAAATATAAATAAAGAGCAAATAAAAGGAAGCAAGATCTCTCCCAATGGGAAGAGAATCAAGAGATGAAAGGAGGGAGAAGGGAAGGAAAAGAAAGGGATTAAAAAAGAGAACTGAAAAAAATGGAAGTAGAGCTGCTGGGAAAGGGAGGGAGAATAAAAGTTGTATGGAACAGGGCAGAAACATGTGGGTAACGAGACAAAAAGAGAATTAAGGTGTGTTATGCACATGTACAAACTCTCTGCAACAGATGTAATCATTATGTCCTACGATCAAGTACTAACAATAAACTTCCAACTGCAAAACAGATTGAAATCAACTACTGAGATCCTGAAGATGAAAAACTGTAAACTAGCTCATGCTGGGTGAGGAGAGGAAGTAAACGGGACCTGCTAGATGAAATGGCGAGGGGCAGACAGCTGGATTGATACTCCTGAGGCCCTGGAAGTCTTCTGGTTGCTCTATCTGAACTGTCACTAGTGATGAATTACAGAATTCCCCCATTACATATGGTCAGGTATATCACATTATATGACAATTAGAGAAAACCTATTGTCTAGACTTTCAAGGGTGGTCAGACAGGCTCATTTATTAAGTGACTGGTTTTCCTTAAACAAGTTTCCCACAACATAAGGTTCCAATTCATAGTTCAGTAAACTTATACATCATTCCACATTATCAACCTGAGCGACTGGCAGCGAATATTTAAAATAATAAACATGAGATTTGGAAACGAGGAGCTCCTTAGCTTTTAAAAAAACATCAAAAGGAATCTCAATATGAATTGACTTATAAAGAAGAGACTATGACGTATGTACGGTCCCCACAGCCTCAGGCTCAGCTTGGACACCAGCACGCTGGTGTGGGGTGCATCCTTGTGTAAGCTCTCTTCTGACCCACTGGAGAATTTGAGAGTCAAATAACATGAGTACATGAACAGTTTATAAAAGCTCTTAAAATTTTAACTAATGTTACATGATAAATGTACACATATAATTGAATAAATCAAATTTTCATGATTCATATTTTAAGAAAATTCGAAGTAGGAAAAAAAGTAAATACAGGTACTTTTCAAGCATCATGAAACATTTACTGAGTCAAGTCAGACAGGACTAAGCAGCCTAGCTAGCTGTGTGGCAAACTGCATCTCACCTTCATACCTCTAGGACTTACTAGAATGAAGGAAACAGTGCTTAGTTTTTATAGGTGACAGTCAATGTTTATGTTCGACACATCCTCACCAATTATTTCCTGAGCCAGAAATGTCAGTGATGAGTTGTTTGCTATCAAATATGTCTCTCAGAGGTCCCTGGAGAATTTCATTTACTACCCCTTCTTCCATATCAATCAAGACAGCCTGAAAAAGAGAATGTAATTGGTGCATTTTCCTTCAGAGTTCTTTAGAAATGAAAAGAACTTACAAACTATCAGCTGCACTGTTCTTTTTACAGTTTAAGCTCGATTAAAATCTTTAATACAGATCTATGTAAGAAGAAAATGAAAACACATGAAGTATAATTGACATATATGTTGAACGTTTATATTTTTAAAAAGTTGGAACAGGAAAAGCATTAATCCTTCTCAAAATACTCTTTGTTTCAGTTATCCCATTATTCTTGCCATGTCTTTAGGCAATTCTAGGTGTCTTTCATGACTGTTTTCGTAATATGTGATCAGAAAACGTGAATGTTGCTGCTGCCTGCCCTCCACAGAAATGCCAGCCTTTAAACACATTACAGACTGCTCTTATCCACCTTAGTCGTCAGACATGGCACTGTCTCAAAGTGAATGTTCTGAACTGATTCAGGGTACAGAGGCAGCCATGACAGCACAAGTGGAGAACAAGTAAAGGATTTCCAGACCTATCAGAAGGTGGCAAGGACGGTGGAACGCACGTGGTGGATACAAGGGGCAGTATTTTGATTAATGACAATGTGTTTTCTACTTTAAGAAATGCAAACATTCTCTATATTTTTTGTTTGTTTTTTTTTCCTTTTTATCGGTACCGCGGATCGAACTCGTGACTGCCTGCTTGCAAGGCAAGCTCTTATGCCGCTGAGCTAAATCCCCAGGCCCCATTCCCTATATTTTTGATCATACGTCATAAGACTTATAAGTACAGTATAAGAAGAAAAAAGGCTGGAAGGACATACAGAAAATGAAGACAGCAGCAGAATTACATATTTCATTTCTTTTATTTTCTGTATGTTCTACAGTTAGGGTTGGGTTGTAGCTTAATGGTAAAGCATGCACACAACCCCTGGATTTCAGAATCATCAGAACCAGTAACAAAACAAGATGAGCCACATCTCCCACCCCCATGCCCCCACCAGTAAAACAAAAAACACAATGAAAACAAAACAAAGTGAAGGAGAGTAAAAACTATAATATAGAAGACTTAAGTAAAAAAGGGAGACAAAAAAATTTCTGAAATAACTTTATGGTACACTACACAGCTCCGATAGTACTTCCAATAACTGCTTGGTTTATAGGTTTTTTAGTTCTTGTGACTATGTAACTAACATTAAGTAATTTCTACATGCCACAAGTATAAATGTTTTACATGTATCAATCCCTTTAACCCACACAACCCTGTGGACAGGCATTATCATCTCACCATCCACGTGAGGGAAATGGGGCCTAAAAAAGCTAAATGGGCTACCGTCACCCAGCCAGGAAACGGCAGAGCTGAGATTCAGACTCATGCACCTGGTCACCACGAACCTTCACTCCTAACTGCCGAACTCTGTTGTACCATCTAATTCAGGGGACAGTCAGGTTTAAGTTACACATTAATAATTACAGCAGCATTACAATTTAAACATTTGAATTCTGTGAATCTGTTTTTATGCTACTTACTGGAAAATACACAATAAAATACAGTAGCATATTACAAAGTCTATAAAACTGTTTTATAAATGCGTTCCTCTTATATATAACAATCATTTTATACACTGTAACCATTTTATACATTGTACACACTTTATATACATAGGACTACATAGGGATATATACTGGAACTTTCAGGAATCTTTAAAAGCATGTTTCTGATAATATACAATTTTATGGTATCTCTTTTGAGACAGGGCCTCCTATACAGTTCAGATTGGCCTTGAGCTTACTTTGCAGACCAGGCTGGTCTTGAATTTGCAACAATCCTTCTGCCTCAGCCTCCTGAGTGCTGAGGTTACAGGTACGTGCCACCATGCCCAGCTCTAAGGCACATACTTGGTTGCCTTACTATCTAGCAGAGGCAATAATGGAACAGATTACTGACATTTAAATGCCCACAGTATGAGTTTTGGTACCATCATCACTCTCCTGGTCATTTAGTATGAAAATCCTGACAAACACGTAATTCGTTTAGTATTTCTTCAGTCATATCAGGTTCTTCATTTGGTTTTTCCACTGGGCATGAATTAAATTTTGACAGAATATTCTGAGTTCATTTAGGCATCTAAAGTCTGGAGTCACAACTGTTCTAGAACGTAATGTTTATGTTTCCTTCCAGAGCCATCTGGCAATAGCTTCTGGATTTTTCCTAACTGTAATAAAGGGTTTACAAAATTCTAACTTTGCCTACTAACCTAAGATAGCAGACACAAAAAAGGAATGCCAGGACCAAGATATCTTGTGAAGTCTGGGATCTTAGTGATCACAGTCACATAAAATCAAGAGTTGCTAGGAAACAAAGAGTACTTTCTTGGATAAAAGTCCAAGCTACAGAAATACGTCAACTTATTCTTTTTTCTAATATTTCCTCTACCTTCCAGTTTTCAATTATACAGTAGTAGAAAAGAACTCAAATTGGGAATAGTCCAAGAAATGTTAACGTGTCTCTCTCTTTCTGGAAGGTCTACATTGGGATGCTAGCTTATTTTATTTCATGTGGTATATGAAATGCTAATTGATTATCCTAACTGCTTACAAGCACATGGTCTCTGCTTAAGCTTTGTTTTCCAAGGACATCAGCTATCACAGAAACAGGAGCTGGGTCCCAGGTGCCACATTACTATTGCTGTTTTCAGCTCCAACACAAGGTCTGATCCTCAGCTGCTCAATTGCTTCCATAGCATTTAAACTGACTTTGTTATAGTCAAAGACTACTAATGAGCAATCACAAAGTTTTTTTTTTTTCCCCAGACAAATACTCATAAAAGGAAAATTCTGGAATGATATTGATGCTATAAATGTGGCTATTGGTTTGAAGATTTTTATTCAGAAAAAGTTATATGGCTATGGTATTTATTCATTACAGCATAGCTGGATCTGTTTTGCAGGGCAGTGACTGATGCAAATTAACTTTCCATCATCTTTAAATGAAAAACTAACCTGTATCAGTATCTATTTCAAGTTCTTTCGGTTAAGAAGCACCTCTCCTTATCATTTATCTAGCCAAGTACTTTCCTTTGCCACTGAGAAAATGCAAAACTTGTAGTGTTTTTACAGTAATTATGAAGTTTCCCTAATATCTTGGGTGGACACAAAATGTTACATTGAATGTGGCCTAGTCAATTTTTTTACTTCAGAAGTCAAACTAAAATTTTATGAAACTGTTACAGAAGTATAGTTATTATCTTACTCGTGCTTTTAAAGAACGTATTTTTCCTTTGGAAATACTGTCACCATCACCAACAACCCTGTAAGATACAAAAAAAAAAAAAAAAAAAAAAAAGGAGAGAGAAAATCACATAATATCCATTATAATAACATAAGCTTCAATTTACACAATATAGGTCAGATGAGGTAGACATAAAGGCCACTCCTCCTTCTCTGCCTCCCACAAGGCTGAAAAAGTGAAGTACTTACTTCCCTGGTTTGATCTCCAATTAATTGAACTGTAATCAACTGTAGCAAATGAGATAAGCAGAGGCACTGTGGGAAGCTCTTATGATAAAAAGGACGGGATGCAGTTAGTGCCAACCTCCCTTCTCCTGCCTCAAACATAAATACATAAGTGATTCTTGGAGCAGAGATACCTATTTTATAGTCATGAATAAACATGAGGACAAAAAGCCAACACACTAAGGATAGTGAATTATGTAGACGCAGCTTTTGGGTCATTCAGGCATTTTTCTTCAAAGAAAATTGAGAAGATGAACGATGTTCCTGTTAGACTATCCTAAATTTAGGTTTGTGAGCTAGTAAACATACTGCCATTGCTTAGGCTGCCACTATGAGATTTCTTGTTGCAGCCCAAATGATATGTTACCAATGAGCAAGGCTTTTTCTAGAATTTTATATTGAAAATAATTTATTACAGTATATAAATCTATGACTGGTATTTGGTTCAACAAAAATAGTTCACAATAAACCAGACTATAAGGAGGGAAGCTGAGTTAACATAGATGTTATGGGCCAGCGGTTGGCCAATTACAAAACTTAGGCCAAATCCAACCAGGTGCCTAGCTTCCTAAGCAAAGTTCATTCAGATTCAACCATGCTCATTCATGTGTGTTATGGTTTGTGCCTAGGTGTCCCATCAAAGCCTCACATGGTCATATGTGGGGCTCTTAGGAGGTGGGTGGACCAAGGCTGTGTGCTGCTGGGATTGATTCATGGTGCGATGATAGGATTAAGGGTGTGAATGCTAGTTGACCTAAGGGGTGAAACAAAAGGGACAGAGAGCAAGCTGCCATCTCTGCCCACTGCTTGTGGCTTGCTGCTTTTGCTATCTTATGCTGCTATGAACTATTTTTCCTCTGTGATGCCCATCTGTCATGCCACCCTATCTTGGAGCCAGCCAATTATGGACTGAAACCTCTACAAACTGTGAACTACAAGAAACCTTCCTTTAATTTTGAGTGTTGGCAAATAAATACATGAAAAAATGTTCATCATCATTGTTCATTAGAGAAATGCAAATTAAAACCACACTGAGATTCCATCTCACTCCTGAAAGAATGGCCAGGATCAAGAAAACCACCAACAACAAATGCTGAAGAGGCTGTGGGGAAAAAGGAACTCTCCTGCACTGTTAGTAGGAGTGTAGACTGGTACAACCTTTGTGGAGGTCAGTCTGGAGATTTCTCAAAAAACTGAGATTGGAAGTCCCATTTGTTCCAGCTATTCCACTTCTAGGCATATTCCCAGAAGAACTGAAAGCATCATACCACAGTGATATATGTGCACCTATGTTTATAGCAGCACAATTTGTAATCGCCAGATCTTGGAAACAACCTAATTGTCCATCAACCGAGGAATGGATAAAAAAGTTGTGGTATTTCTATACAATGGAGTATTACTCAGCTATAAAGAAGGATCACATTGATATTTATCAATAACTGGGCGCAGCTTGAGACCATACTCATAAGTGAAATAAATCAATCTCGCATGTGTGATTCAAATATATAAATGTGGTAAATATGATTCCCCACTATGTGGCCTTGAAGCCTTGTAAAGTTTTCACTTATTAATTGGAATGGCTTTATTCTGGGCTGCTTGATATGGAAATATTTGAAGCTATAGTATATGAAGTTATATACAAATATTTCAAGGAAAAAGACAGACACTATGGTAACTACTATTAAGTCGGATTATTTGGTGGTGAAACACTAGGTTGCTGAAACAGTCAGGCTTTGACCTGTATTGTTATGTTGTTATGTCCTCTTTTATCTCAATCTCTCCCTTATTCATTAAAAAAATTATTTAGTTATTTTTTTATGATTTTTTAATTAAGCGGAAAAATAAAAAAAATTAGCAGAATATATTATAGTAACTTTTTTGATTTCCTATTAACTTGATTTGAAGTCCTGTAATACTCCCACTATCTTGTTTTGACTGATTAGACTCTGTTCCGTTCTGTATGATAGTATCAAGTTTGAGGGTATAGGCAACTACTTAGTAGGCAATAAGATTCACTAAGATGCCCATTCTGGTTTGACTATTATCTCCTTTGGAAGTCCTGTAATGTTACAATGTTTAGGTTTTATTGGTCTTATTCTCTACTGTTTAGTTCAACTTTATAATACCTAATGAGATAAACAATTCTTTTTAAGGAAGCAAGAGGCATTATGGTAACCATTGTTGATAACCTTGTACTCTGTTTTTACATCATGTGCTATGTCTATCCTTGGTTTTGATTGTCAGCTTTGTTTTGCCATATTTGACTTTATTCTCTTCCAAAAAAAAAAAAAAAGGTAATAAGAACTAAGGAGTAATAAAACCCAAAATGTATAAATTTTGTTGTAAAAAAGAGAGGGGAAAAAAGTGCTCTAAAGGATACAACTGCAAGTGTGTTTAGGGGGTGTTAAATAGATGACCATATTAATGTTTTTGGTTGGATCATTGAACACAACTGTTTGCAGTCTCGCTGTTTGAATGTCCACTTTGTATGCTTTGATACTGTGACTTGAGCAACTATCTCTAAGATGATAATGTGTAATCTATTAACTGGTGATTTCTTACTTTTTTTTTTTTTGTAGTTCTGTATTACTTGTACTCTTACACTGCTTTGTTTTGTTTTGTTTTTTCTCTTTTTCCTTTTAAATAAAATTTTAAAAAAATTTTTGAGTGTTGGGTATTTTGTCTCAGCAATGATTAAAGTAATAGTCACTATGTCTTTGTTAATGTTATAAAAACAGTTGAGTAGCTATGACACAGACCTTGTAGTCTGGAAACTTAAGTCTGGTCCTTTATGGATAAAGGTTTTTCCATCTCCTGTTATGAGTAAATGTTTATCAGTCTATTAAAAAGGTATGATTTGATAAAGAAATGTACATTAAGATGTGGTCTCATTTTCACAAAATATTTTGAACAGAGGCTAGTGTTGATACTACACAGAAAGAGCAAGATGCCACCTCTCTTCTCTTCTCCTTCCCAAACCTGATGGTGGGAAAGAATGTTCTCAGATTAAAGTTTATGACACATTACAAGCTTATGGACATATCCTGAATGTCAAGTTACTCTTTCAGAATAAAAGATTTATGATACTTACATATATTCCTCATTAAATAATCTTTTTTAAATGCAGTTTACACTAAATAATTGAGAGTATAAAAAAGAAAACTCAGGCTGAGTCTCAACTATGGAATGCTTAACAAAAAGAGCAGACTATTGAAAAAGGAAGGTGTGAGAGTATGAACTTAGCAGAAGCACCGGAAAGAGCTCTTACACAGGCCAGTTTATGTCGATCATAAGAATTTAGTGAAGTCTTCTGGTCTATAAACAAGAGGGGATTGGTCTACATGATAACTATCTCCATTTCATAAAGACAGATAACACCAGGCATTAATATACCTAACTTCTCTCAATCTTATTCCACAGTTACTAAGCAACCACCTGATTATGTTGTTTTGCTAGATTTCATACAAAAAGAGAATGTGCCTATAATACAAAATCTAGTATTTTGTAGTTTTAATTCATAATTTCCTATTTTTAATCTCTCATTTCTGTGAGTTTGTTTAATCTTACTGTACTGCAGAACACTGGATCCACTCTCAAGGCTGTTAAGTCTGCAACCCTCAGTGCTAAGTTTTCACCAATGAAGACTACCTAGCATTCTCTAGAAGGTAACAGCTTAGATATTAAGTCAACCAATTCAAACTAGAATTAGAATTTCTGTTGCATTACACCTTGATAGTAAGCATTATTTTCAGTGCAAGCCCCCCATATTTGGTTGTATGAAGTATTCTAAAAATGAATAAACATTATCATTGAACATTTAAAGGTTATCGACATACTTTGTCAAATTATTCTTTCAGATGAAAGATCTAACACACATCTTCTATTATATGAAAATAATCTTTGTTGTATGCAGTATACACAACTTTTTTTCCCTGGCACATTCTGTACTTAGGGCAAGTATTCTTGATCACTGTAACAGAGATATTAAAAATTAGCCACTACTAGATGTGCTAACAAGATACCTTCAGAGAAAAGTAGGCTGCTCTTTGGTAAGTTTATTTCAAAGTTAAGTTAAAAGGTTCTTGTGTTCCTTAATAAGATTTAAGGAATCTGTTGTCCTGTTCTGCAGAATATGAAAACATTCTCTGTGTAAGAATGCTTTCAGTAAGGAAAATAAAAAAAAAACACTAGACAACTTCACAGCTATCATTTCCTCTTATCACTCTTTAAAGAATTCGCTCCCCAAAGTGCTGACACTAAAAGAAAGGATTATCATGCTGTGACACACTTTAACCCCATCTTACCTGGTATCCACATTCCTAAAGAAGCTGCCGATGGCTTCATCATAAATTCCTTTCTAAAAAAAAAAGTTTATAGATTTCACATTTTTAACTCTTCTCCAAATCAAGTCCTTTTAATAATTCCATAGTACTGCAACTGCTAATATGTGACTATAAGAAAAAGCAAGTACCATAAAAAACGCTTGGGCTGATGCTTCCAGTATCTTTGCAGAACAGAATAAAAACAAGGATAGCTACAGAGTAAGTTCTGCAGGGCGTGAAGAAAAGATTTGCCATATGACTGTGGAACAACCGCACCAAGTAAGTTTTCTTGTATTTTTACTGGTACCAGGGATCGAACTCACGACCACAGGCTTGCAAGGCAGGCGCTTAAGCCGCTGAGCTAAATCCCCAGCTCCCCCCCCCAAGTAAGTTTTCTTTTTCTTTCTTTTTTGTCTTTTTGAGACAGGGTCTCTCTATGCAGTTCAGGCTGGCCTTGGGCTCACTTTGCACCAGGCTGGTCTCTAACTTGCAAACAATTCTCCTGCCTCAGCCTCCCAAATGCTGGGATTACAGGAGTGCGCCACCACGCCCGGCCGTTTTTTCTTTTGGACTGAGCATTCTTGGTGATTTCAGAAGCTGACTAGTTAAATCAAGGATAATAACCACACGTGTTATCTATCTTACAACGAACTTTATCATTTACCGCCTGCTCTTCTCAAGAACACTAACAAAGACCCTGAGCATCGGGAAAATCTGTGGCCAGCACTTTTGAGTCTGTGTCTGACAGCAACACACGATGATAAAAAAACTGCTGTTTTTCAGTGAGAGCCTCGCCTATGACTGACAGCGACGGTCAGGCGTTCATACTGTGCGTTTCCTGCTTGTTGGCCCAGCGACCCCGGCGAGCGGCGGGGTACCTGGTTGACCGCGGCATGTTCCCTCAGCGCCAGGTCCCAGAAGCAGCAGCCGATCTGGTTTCCACACTGGCCGACTGCGACCAGAAGAAAGAGCATGGATATTAGGCAGGGAACGAGACCACTGAGCTCCGCGGCAAGCCAGTGCCCACACCCGGCGCTCACCCTGAAGGACCACCGACTGAGTCATTCTGACTGCCGACTAGCTCGGGTTACCGAGTGGACACTCCCGCCTTTTCATTCGCAACGTCACGACGGCCGTAAGTCACTGTGCTGCCGCAAATCGCTGCCGTCGTTAAACCGTTCTCTAGGTCCAAACCGCGGCGCGCCCTGGGAGGCGGCGCAAGCGCAGTTGCGTCTGACCGTTACTATAGCAACCGGGTCTCCAGACCGCCGATCCTAGCTGCTCTGTCAACATCTTTGAGTCGCGGCAGTTCCAGATGCCGGGGTAAATTGGTAACTAGTTTTTGACGAGGTCTTTTAAATACGTGCCTTTAAACCCTTCGTGGGCCACGAAGGAGGGTTCATTTAGTCTCAGCACGCTAGTCCCCTTTCTTACTCAGATTTCACTGGACGCTGCACTAGGGTCGCCGCACCGCCCTGCCTCGGCCTCCTAGAGTGCTGGGATTGTAGGCCTGTGTCACCGCGTCCGCGTCCGTTGTTCTAATAGAAAACGGAGAGTGTCTCAGAAAAACTCAAGACAAAATAGACCCAGGAGAGCAACCTCGAAGCGAGGTGCACTTTGACACAAATGGCAAATTTGAGGGACCCAAGTAGTGTTTGCTGATCGCCTGGACTGCATAGTGAGTTTAATGCCGGTCTGAACTACACAGGGAGACCCTGTCTCAAAAAACCAAAGATCGCTTAGAAGATAATTTCTTACAGGGAAACTAACATGCCATGGCATACTTCCTATAGATAGAAGTAAAATATGTAACCCTAATGAATGACAAGAGAAGGAACGCAGGATATACCCTGGATCTCTTAGTAGTTGTGAAGCAGTATGTTTTTGAAGGCGGAATGTGAAAACTTAAAAAGATGCATGCTATGAACCACTGATGGCGACTGTTTTAGAGCTTTTAACAGTAACAACGCTGCCACACGCATCCTATAGTTTCGCCACACAGCGTATATGCCCTAAAGTAACTAAAAACAAAGCACAAGGATATATGGAAGGAAATCACAAATGGGGATAAAATAGTTAAAATATGCTGAGTCAGTCCAAGAGAACGAGTAACAAAAAGAACAAGAAATGATGATACAAAAACAAAGCTTTTGTAAATACGGAGGAGAAAAAAGTGGGAGGGAGGATAGGGGAATGGGAGGGAAAAAAACCCAGATATATCACGAAATGATACAAATTCCCACTAATGAGTGTGATCATTATGAATACCTAAAATGTACCAATAAAGTTAATTAACTAAAAAAAGAAAGTATAGTGCAAATAGAAAGATGACAGATTTAAACCCAAACTTACTACATTAATTTAAAATGTTTAATTGAAATACCATAATTTAAAAGACAAAGATCATCAGACTAAAATAAACGGGGTTCAACTATGTGTTTATAAGAAATGTACGGTGAATACAAAAAACAAATACAGTAGGTTAAAAGTAAGAGAACTGAAAAAGATATGTCATATTAAGATTAAGCAATAGAAAACAGCTAAACAAATTTCAGAACAAGGAGTATTGTCAGGGTGAAAGGTATTTCATGGTCAAAGTGTACATTTATCTTCAAGAGTACAACAATATTAAATGAAAATGTAGTGAAAGAGCTTCAACGTAGATAAAGCAAAGCTTTCAAAATAAGGGAAAATTCAGTTACAGTTGTAGATTTCAATACCCCATCTTTCAGAAATAAGTATAAAGAAAATAAGAATATAGAAGAATTGAACAACTCCATCAATCAACTAATTACCTATATAAAACACTCCACCCAACAATAACAAGAGACACTTTCTTTTTCACTGTACATAGAACATTTACTAAGGTAGTCTATGTCCTAACCATAAAAACAAATCTCAAATTACAATGACTCAGATCATACAAAGAATGTTCTCTGACAAAAATAGAATGAAATAGGAATAAGTTAACAGTAAAATGAAATATTTCCAAATATTTGAAGATGAAACGATGTAACTAACTTGTACGTCAAGGGAAATAAAAGGAAAAATTTAAATTATTTTTACAAATCAATTTTTGTATGGATTTGTATTTGAAAAAAATTTTAAAGGAAAAATTTTAACTGAAAGAAATTAAAGCACAAAATCTCTCAATTTGTGAAATGCAGGTAAAGTAGTGCTTTGGTACAAATTGATGGGATTAAATTATGTTTATTTCTTTGGATTGAGTATATTTTAACTATTTTATCGCCAGTTGTAATTTACTTTTACATATCCTTGTGCTTTGTTTTTAAGTTACTTTAGGGTATATTTGCTGTTTGGTGAACCTATAGGATGTGTGTCACAGCATTATTAAAAGCTCTAAAAGTTCACCATCCCTGGTTTATAGCATGCATCTTTTTAAATTTTCACACTGCCTTCAAAAACATTACACTGCTTCACAAGTACTAAAAGATCCAAAGTATATCCTACTGTGTCAACAACAATAAAACTAAAATAATTTTAGAGCTACTTAATTGTTAAGTTTCAGCCTGTTTCTGGAATTATAAATGGAGACATTTGACTCTTTTAGCAGGCAGGAAACTATGTAAAAGAATCTTCTGATGTCATAATTTCTGGGTGTTACTGGAACCTCTGATCATCATTCCCTTGGCAATTCCAGCTTTTTATGGAAGGTCAGTAGAAGCCATTTATTTATTCACCTCTACAAGAATCAGACTCAGCCTATTTTGGTAAGTCTGTGCTTCCTTGATCAAGTAAGCTAAAAGTTCCTACACTGTTAGTTATAGTGATCCATACAGTTTGCCATGGTTTTACTAAGTCATCAATGAGCAGAACACTTTTTCTTGAAAATTGGCACATCATCTATAAAAATCATTACATAACCAAAACCTTGAGCCTTAAGAATTTAGTTCATTACCACCAATTAACATTTACTTAGTAGGTACAGAATACTGTACTAGATGTAAGGAAGAGTTTTAAGACACTTTTCATTTTTCCTTTGTGAGCTAATGTTGAAGACATGCAAATCCATTCAAGGTAGAGTTACTAACTGTTTCCAGTGTGCCTGGGAACTCTGCTGTGTATTAAGAATTCAGTGGTGACAAAGAAATGAAAGGGAATATTAAAAACTTTAAAAAATTAGGACAGTGTTTCTTATTGGAGAAAAATTTTGTCCTTTTTCTCTACCTTGGAAGATTTAGCAATGCTGGAGACAGAACTGCACTGTCACCGCCTGGGAGAGAGGTGCAGTTGGCACGTGGCGGATGAAAGCTGGGGAACATCCTGCCACGTGTCCTGCCTTCCTCAGAATCAGCTGATCCCAGATTTCAGTAGGGTCATGTTGGGAAAATCCTGAGTTAAAATATCATTAACTACTAGAAAACAGTAAAGGATGCTGATGAAAACTTGGGTTATAAGACTGATAAAAGTGTTCTCTAAAATAACAAAATGTAAATTCAGACTTAGTGAATAAGTTGGCCCCAAAGTGAATGGTGGGAGCAGCAGGTGGGGTGACATTCTAGGCCGAGGCAGCAGGAGGTGGTGAGGGTGTGTGTGTGCCTGTTTGCACCCATCATACATATTTCATATATTCATGGACGTACCAATATATGTTTAATGTTCTGTACTATTTACTGAATCATAGGTAACATGGACTGAACGCTTACTGTGTGTTATACAGTACATTTCATATTACCTTATTTAATCCTCACTATTATTCTAGAAATGGCTAATATTGTTTTCAACTTACCCTTAAGAAATAATTTAAAGGCAAATAATTTTCTTCATAGAGCGGAACTGGACTTCATGTTAACTACGGTCTAGTTATGCTGTCCCAAAGGCACATTTTACTTTTGTCATGTGGTGGCTGTCTCACTTTTGCTGTAGGACTCCAAATTGTATGTAGGGGATAGTTGTGTAGTATAATATTTTAGATTTTAAAGATATTTAAAGATGTATATGGGATATTTTGTATGTTTCTAAAAATATTAAAATTTTCAAGTAACTCTGAAGATAACCCCCTCCCTCATTATTCTGTCTGTATTAAATAGGTTTTCAGTGAATTATGGTTTTACGGTTTGGAACTCAGCCAAGGAGGTTTCCAGTGGAAGGAGGAGATTCTTCAGTTGGGCGAGGATCTGGGCTGACCTCCAGTGCCGCCTGTAACAGGAATGAGATATCACCAAATAGGTGAAATCTTCGTATCTGACAACCTAGGAAATATGTATTGGATTCATTCATATAGGCTGTCATTATTTCACTAATATTGACTATTAGCAAGAAAAAGTCCAAAAATGCCAACACTGCTGCTATCAAATTGATACTAACAGAGCTAAGGATTATTTAAAATCTTATATAAGAGTCTGATTTTGTATCTCCATAAATCTTGATGATAACAGTTCTAGTCAGTAAATTTTGAGCTATCTTGCTTTGTTGATAGTTTCAGAGTTAGACTTAACCTTCTAAAAACATTCAGTGCTGGTACTTGCAGGACACTGTGCTGCCACAGGCATAAATTTACAGGTACAAAAACGAGTTGAAACTTATATTTAGTGCCACTTTGGCTTTGATCAGCCCTGTGGCAGAAAGCAAAAACAGAATGAAGGTGCTATGAATAAAACCAGTTTTGCAAAATTGAAGAAAACTATAGTAAATAGCATTTTTCTTCCATTTGGCATAGTAGAATTGTAAATACCATGTTATTATGTCTTACGGGTTAGAAATTTTGAGGATGCATATTTAACCTTAATAAGGTATATACTTCAAAAATTAAAGTTATTCAAAGGTGACATTGCGAGTTTGGCTAGAAATGAGCTCTTCCTTATTAGAGATGTTCATTAGAGATGGTTATTCAATATGAATTTGATATGAAGGGAATTCAGATAGCAGATGTTCTTTGGACTAGATCCTGTTAAAAGCTATTTCAAACCTGATAGTGTACATTTGGACATCTTTTTAAAATATGTTGTTTTTTTTATAGAAATACTCTGCTTTTGAAATCACACAACTGAAATGATTTTAAAAGGTGTAAATAGGAATGAATTACTACAGAATTATCACCTGTGTTTATCACAATGCATTCTATTGCCAATCAATGCATGCCTTACAAAATGAATATCTAGAGGACAAATATGTGTGTTTATGAATTTTCTTTAATTAAATATATGGCAACAGCCACAATTCCTTTAAAAGTCTAGAACACCTACCTAACAGTCACCTTTGTGTTATGCTATTTTATGACATGGAAAGACAACAAAGGACTTTAAACGTTAAATATGTACTCAAACTCTGTGGTGTAAAAAACTGTTCCCTTGTTAGTATCTTAACTATGTATCACTTCTCTTTCATTCAGGCAGCTCCGAAGATGCCCTGCAAGTCATTGCCTGACAATCACTGATGTCCCCATCACTGTCTATGCAACAATGCGAAAGCCACCTGCACAAAGCAGCAGGGAAATTCCTCCTAAGTAGCATCATTAAGTCACTGGTGGACGGTTGGCTAGGTCAAGGGTAATGGGCCAGTATCACACTATGATCTGGTAAACAAATAAAAGTGGTGGCACTGTTGGATGATGACAGTAGTTGTGCTATTTAATTTAAGAAGACAAATAGAATCAGTAAAACACGTAGGGACCAGCCATCTGGTGTGTCCGATAGATGGGGTCACAGTAATGGTTCTGGATTGGAAACTGCCTTAGATATTGTCTTGCTCAGAGTGGATGATTGATATCAGTAACTCCGGTTATCAGTCAGCTGAGACCTAGTCTACCTGCTTTTAAATTATTTTAATCCTTCTGTTGAATGTTTCTCGTGAAACCTAGGTATAGAAGGAATGTTGCTTTTCCTTCTTCCAGGAACTTTGTAAAATGGCAGTGCTTAGGAGGTGCGGTGTGGGTAATAACTATTATGGAGCCCTGCTTTCCTGAAATTCGTTCAGTAAATATTCATTGAGCATACACTCACATGCCAGACAGTATTCTAGGCACATGTGACACATCTGTGAATAACACAGGCAAACATTCATGCAGCTTACATTTTTGGACAATTTAATGCTCTCTGACTCTAAAAATTCTGTGTACGTGTGTGTGTGTGTGTGTGTGTGTGTGTGTGTGTGTGTGTGTGTGGTGTCAGGAGCATTGTGATTGTATACTGCTGATAATACTGAAATGGTTTATCTTAGTAGTCCCAAGAGAGAATGAATAGGGTTCATACTTCAAAGTTTGCTGAGTTAAATGTGTTATATTTATTATTTTAATGATCTAGCAAGGAAATTTCTCTTGATACACTTTATTATTGTGTTAAACATAAGAAAATAAGAGACCAGAGATGAAATGCACTCCAGTGTCTTTCTGAGACTCCTTCCCTAGTTCCTGACTGAGAGATGACATGATTATTATTGGACAAAGGATAGGTAGATGCCCCACCATAGGTTTACCAAATGAAAATGCTAGGATTCTTTTCTTTTGGTGTATGTCTGCAAATGTGTGTGAAAAACATTTAAAATCATATATAGTAGATTCTACTGCTAAGTGCTTGGATTTTCTTTATGTTCCCCAGTTCAGATATTCCAGAGAAGATGCCCACTTGTTCATTCTGTCTTTTCATACCAGGTAGTGGGATGTTGCTTTACTGTAAAGCTGTAGAACCGTGATGACAACACTTTTAGAGTTCTCTGTGATACGTGCAGCCTGCTGAAGCACAAGCAGCCTGCTGTGGCACGTGTGCCATAGGTTTGCCACCACTGCTACGGCAGCCTGCTGTTCTTGTCCAGTGTCAGCTGAGGCCACAATAGGGACGTGGGGCATGTGCCTAACTAGGGCTTCTCCACATAGGACTCTGGGAGGCCCTGCTCAGAGCAGTGGTTCAGAATCACATGAGGGCTTATATTTCTCTCTGTGGTGTACTCAGATGCTGTGATCAACTAACAGAAAGCAAATCCTACTTGTTTCCCATAGAAGTGGAGAGGAAAGGGTTTATTGAAGGAACAGGTTCAAGCTCTTGTAATGTTGAATTTGCAGTTTTGGAAGATCACGGTGTTGGTTTAATGAGGTGTACTGGGCTCAGGAGATGGCCAGTTGTGATCATAGAAATAGCCCTCCAGCATGCCCTGGGGCAATTTCAGAAAAGAAAGCTGGTTATATTAGAGCCATTTCCACTGCTTGGATCTGATAGAAAAATATCATGAGCTTCAGTGTGTTTTGAACACTTCAGTTATGGCCTCAAACCCTTTAGATGCAGTCTGTAGGCCAGGAGCCACACACGCCTTTCAGAAGGTTTTGTTTGGTCTGCATGTATTTTCCCTTTGAGGTCGTTGCTTTAATTCCCAACTGAAAGATCAGGCTATTTCAAACTCCCCCGATGTTACATGTCCACCTTCTTTTGGAAACGCTGCCCTTCTGGACTTGTGTTCTTTTGTGGTGACAGTGGTTGAGCTGACCACCAGCTGTCCTTGTAGATGAGCTGCAGGTGAGCCTAGATTTTCTCCATGAGACCCCACAGCCTCACTCCGGTGTGCAGGAGAGCCTTCTGTCCGCTGGCCTTTGGGTTTGTGGCTCCTGCTTTCCAGCTCAGTGGAGGGTCAGCCTGAAGGCGGACAGACTTCCAGGCAAGAAAGCAAGGGCCAGTCATGGTGCCCCAGGGGAGGCGGGCAACTTTAGTGTCAGTCTTGGCTCCTAGGTTTAGATACCTGCTCCTATGGGCCGGGGATTTAGCTCAAGGGCACAAGTGCCTGCCTGGCAAGTGTGAGGTTGTGAGTTTGATCCTTGGTAAATAGATGGATAGATGGATGGATGGATGGGTAGATGGATGGATAGATAGATATCTATTCCTAGCAGACAAAATACCTGAGTTGCAAATGTTACCCACAGGATTAATGTAATGAAATAATGAAATAGTAATAAACCTCAGCCTGTTATGATGACTAGCACTTAATGGTAATTCATCAAAATATTTTATACCTCATCCCTTCAATAGTTACTCATTTTGTTTATATCAGTTCTGCTGATACCGAGGTCTATTTTCTCTCTTGTTTCAGGGCTTATTATCTTCTCATGTATAATTATTTTATCTCATTTTCCATATTTTAGTATCCTACCATCTACAGTAATCACATGTACGTTTCTTTTTGTAGCATTTATGGATATGGATACTAGGAAAAATGTAAAATTTTAGAAATAAGACTAGTATTGCTTCAGGTATGCGGAAGAAAGACTTTTTTGTTGTTCTTTTGTTTGGTGGTGGTAGTGCTGGGGATGGACCTGGGGCTTTGTGCATGCTAAGTGAGGGCTCTGTCGAGGAGGTGTATCCCCAGTCACGGAGGTGTACCCCCAGTTCAGAAGATCTTTAATAAAAAGCCATTCCTGTTTTGCAACTGAATTTTATGATTTTGTTTTTCATTGTAATGTTCTTGGTTGATTCCTGTAAACACGTAATAGTAGTAATAATAATACCCTAAGCTGCGTCGCTTCATGTATACTTCTATTTTTCTTTTAAGAAGTTAGTAGTTTGATTCCTTTGTTCTTAGCTAGAAAAAAATCAAATTATTCTAGCACTTTTCTGATAATGTCTATGAACTGTACTTTAATAACCCTGATGACTGTTTCTGGAAGCTTAAAATATTCTTCTTATACTGATGTACACAAAACTGATAAAAATAAATCGGGCCGGGGATTTAGCTCAGTGGCATGGTTTCTGCCTGGCAAGCATGAGGCCCTGAGTTCGATTCCCAGTACAAAAATAAAAATAAAAAGATAAACCTAACATCTAATTTTTAGGTTATATGTAAATTACTAAGTCTTTTTAAAATACAAAAAGGTAGTTAAGACAAAGATTTTTTTTATAGATTGAAAGTTTTCAGCCCCTGAAAGAACGAAGATATAACTGCACTTTAAAAATGTGCACCAGTGTTTATTTAGAATTCCCTTCTGTTTTACAGCAGTTTTACCAGCAGAATGTATAGGTGCACCGAATCAATACAAGTTAGTTTCCCCTCATTTGACTGCTGTCCACTGCAGACTTTTTGGATCCAAGTTAAGAACTGCGATAAAAAAATGAGCTGTGTCCAGTCCCTTATGAATTCCACAAGTCCCTTTCACATAGAAGAGCGCTTCCACCACAAGGGGCCGGCTCTGCTCATTTCAGTGCTCTGAAGAACTTCGGCAGTGCTGTGGTGCTTCAGGCTGCTGGGCAGGAGTTGATGCTAACAGCTCCGCTGACCAAGGCTGCTTTATTGAAGCTAACGGGGCGCCCGTCAATCACAAAGTGGCGGATGCAGCCTGTGAAGGGTTTGGTGGGGGCCAAGCGTGGTGTCAGCAGAGACTCTGAAGTGAGAAAAAAATAAAAGCAGAAAATCACAGTGCAGCCATTTCAAAGCCCAAATATTATCTTCTAGTAAATATGTGCAACACCTATTGACATCATCAAAATGATTACACATCATCAATGCTGTGTCGCTGTAATTCTCGGGAACATCCTCTGCTTTTTAAATAACACAAACACATTATAATTTAAAGTTTTGCCATGTTTTCATGATCAAGTTTCTGTGTATATTGCAGGGGTCTTCGAGAGTTGAAATTTACCACTTATATATAAAGCATCAGCAGTGAATTTTCATAACTACGATTTTTAAGAATTAATGTCTTCTGGGCCTCACTTTCTGTGCTTTGCTGAGAAGTGAATTTTTAGTTCCCATACTATTTTTGAACATAGTTAATGTTTCTGTTTAACTCATCATTACCCTTCACCCTTAAGCTTCTACGTTTTTGCCAAGCTCATAAGATTTGATGAGAAAATAATGAGTTAAAGTATAATTTTTTTAACTCAGGGCTTAAGAACTATAAATAGGGTACTGATAACTGTGTATGTCTTTGTGTGAGCACAGGTGCCCTGTGGTATGCCAGGGGAACATTCTCCCCTATCTAATTAGACATCTAGAAGTCTTACATGCATTAATTGTACAGACACAAATGTGTGGAGCTGATAGAAGTGATGTAATTTAAAGCAATTAGCTTAGAAATAACAAAAAAGTAAAATAAATTTACTATGTACAAACAGCTACATAACAGTAAAGAACAATAACTCAAGAAAGAACATAAAATAATACCACAAATTAAACACCGTTATGCAGATATAATTTTCCAAGCAATGCAGAGCAGGACTGTGAAGGTGTGTATTGAAGATAAATTTTAGAAATAGCATTTTCTTTTAAGAATGATAATTATGAAGATTTAGATTTGGGAGGGCCTGAGAGATCAATTTCCCTTCTTTGTGTCTAGATTAGTATGACTGTGTATATTCATCAAGCCTTCTCAGTATATGTCATCAGAATAAAAATAAATGTGTGAATAGCAAAGATTATCATGAGTTGGAACATCTAATACTTCTGCCACTTTGGAGACTAGAATTTGAACATGGGTGTTGATTCTGCTAAGCTTTCCACTCTTTGGCTCACGGAGGAAATCAGCTGTAGGAAAGAAATTCATGTATCAATTATCACCTGCAAAAGTCATCATAGAAATTGTAGGTAGTGATGGACCCCAAGGACCATAAGTAATTGATTAACAAAAGTGACATGTGATTTTAAGAGAGACTCTTTCCCAGGTGAAGGCTTGATTATATAAAATAATAAAGGGTTTTCCGTGGAGAAATGTATCATTAGACCAATGTGTGAACTCCATTAATTTAAAATTTTTCTAACATTTCATTCTGATTTTTAAACTGTCATGCAATAAAGCTAATATCTTTTGGTATGGTAGCTCTCTGAACTTTATGCATTAGCTTTTTAATGATAGAAATAACACAGTTCTGAGTGGTAAGTGGTTACAAGAAAATTCAGGTATATAGGGATTGTACTTAGAATAATTTCTTAAGTTATCTTCTTAATGCCTTTGTCTCTAATGAGATTTTCCTGAAATTAATCCTGAATAACTCAAAATAATGTAATGAATTACATTCAGCTTATGTTGTAATTGCTTTTGTTCTAGGCTTTTGGGCACGATTCCTAGCTGGAATTCTAAGCTGCAGTGGTGCAGCGGGCTTTGGTTAGGCTTCCCTGCTAGCTTTTGTGTGAAAGCCCCTGAAATTTGTATTCATTGTATGTTGCATAAAGGCTGAATTTGGTTATAGGTACATCTTTCCCCCCTAGTGTATGGGGCTTAATTGTAGCAATGTGTGAGGCTAGATCAGATTAAAAACAAACACACAAGTCAAAGAGAAGCACTTGTTTGAATTATGTGGTAGGTAATTTTGGTGACAAGAGAAGGCATATACTGCAACTTCTGTGAGGGAGAGCCATGCTTATTTCTTCTCAGTGTCCTGAAGCTTAGCACAGTGCTGAGCAGACATACAATAAATGCTGAGTAGTCATGTTCCCCCTCAGCGAGGAGTGTACGCTAGCTTCTACAACATTTGGTGATAAGAGCATCACCATCACTGTGTGATGGTTGATACACTGTGTCAACCTGAGAAGTTTAGAAGTTTAAGAACCAGGATCCTTACTTTGTAAACACTCTCAGCCTGCCCAGAAGAGGACACAGCAGTGGTGTGAGTGCTGTACCTGTCCTGGAGGCCGAGTCCGGGGTGGGGTGGGGGGCCAGCCTGCTGACAGTTTAAAGGAAGAGGAGAGGCTGGTTCTCTTGCCCGTTGCTCTTGCTACTCTGTTGTGTTCTGCTACCTGGAAGTGTTGCCCCTGTGCCATGTCACCCTACCTGGGAGCCAGCTGCTTATGGACTGAAACAAAGTGTGAGCTAAATGAACCTTTCCTTCCTTAAATTTTGCCGTTGGGGTATTTTGTCTCAGCAATGAGAAAAAAGTAATTAAGACAATCGGTATGTGTCCCAAGGGAAGCCATGTGTATGAGTGAAATTCAGAGCTGAGCCCTGAATGTTAATATGGAGTTAGGTAGCCGAGGAGCAGGAAAGTTATTCCTTGAAAAGATGTTGTGTGGAGAAAGGGAGAACAGTATTGTATAGAGACTGAAGCCCGTGCAATCATTCAAAGAAAGGCCTGGAACAAGAATGGCCTGGAACAAAGACAGTGTCAGTGACCACTGGAGAAACTTCAAGTCCCAGAAGGTATGGGGAGGTCACAGAGGGAGGAGCAAGCAGGGAACAGATGACCCAGGACCATGCACGCTACACTAAAGTTGATCCAGCGGACCTTTGGCAACCTGAGAAATACTGTGTTGTGATCTTCAGGAAGGAAGCGATGTGCAGAAATGTAAGAACTGACGTGAGACCTTTTCCACACTGCACCTGCACGAAGTGCACCCGTGGCCTTGGCCAGGATTCCTTTCAGGACCAAAGCTGTGGCAGGAAGAGAGGACGGCTGTGGCAGTGGGAGTGGGGAGGGAGGGAGTAAAAGAGAGGAAGGGTTGCTTTTTGAAAGTCTCAGATCTCTCTCTCAGCCCCTGAGTTACCATCATTGTTAATACTGCTACTGGGAAAATTCACATTAGGAAGAAGAGGAGGAATCCTCGGTTGTTACTATTTTGTGAGGACCTATGCTGTGATGCTTCCTTTATCTATGCTTTCTCATTCTCTTAATTAAAAGATCAGTTGCCTTTATATAGGTCAGTCCAAATCAATCTTAACTAGGAGATTAAAATCTCTACCAAATTCTACCAGCTGCAAAAGCTTTCATGTATCTTTTTTATATTTCCCTCCTGAGTGATAGCTTTCAGTTTTTTCAAGTTAGTGACACATGTGAAAACCGTGACTTTCAACATAAAGACAGAACCCCTTCTTTAAGATACTTATGGAGGGGGTCCATAACTGTCCTCCTAGGAATGTCACTATGTAGGAATTAGTTCTCTTAGGGAATATCACTTATGGGAACCAAGTAATGTATGATTTGCACCTTTTTTTCAGAATTCAGACAAATTCTGGGCAGCAGAACTGCATTCTTGCCACTTACAGAAGGAAGCAATTATCACAGACTTTATTTTTCTCAGGGTTTTGAGTTCATAGAGCAGTATCAATAAGTTTTCTTTGTGGTAGAGATAGTGTTTCACTGTATGTATGGAGGATACATAAAAGGAAGAGAAAAAACAAGCAATATGGTGAAAAGGGAATAATATCATCTGCTAGAATGCTGGTCCTCATATATTACTTCGATATATTTGGATAAAAAGTCAAAATTTTCATTGTGCCTTTTCTATAAAAGGACACTACAGAAAATCCTTTGGGTTATCAGGTGAATTATGAAACCACGTGGCTCTGTTCATAGCGATGGTTATGAGAATTTGCAAACTTGTCCCTGTTGAGCATCGCTTACCTGGAACACCTCCCACAAACACAGGCTCCCTGTGATCAACCGGCTTGGGATTCAGGGGTCCAACGACGTGATTCACTTCAGAGTCGACGTCCAGCTGAACCACA